GCATAAGACGAGAAAATGAAGATTTCGATTACGTAAAGAACAACGACGATTTGTTGGTGCTAACAAAAATGATTATAAAAAGTGCAGACATATCGCATGGATCTGTCAAGTGGAACGAACATTATAAGTGGTGCCAACGAGTGTTGTGTGAGTTCTATTCCCAGGGCGATGAAGAATTAAAAAATAAAATGCCCCTATCTCCGTTATGTGACAGAACAAAGCACAATGAAGTTTGTCAATCTCAAATTACCTTTCTGAGATTTGTCGTCATGCCTCTGTTCGAGGAATTGACCTACATAGATGACATCAAATTTGTGAAGTAATTATAATTGAGGGAGAGAGAGACCTGTTTCCCTTTGGGGGGGAAGATCCCTTCGTCTTCACCGTTATGGGTTCTCATGCATGTGCGTGCGTATATGGCCATCTGTATGCATCTGTATATATAAATGTCACCCGCTTGGATATGCTGGCTTCGCCTCTCTCAGGAACTTCTGTCTCAAGAGACTACACAGCAACTGTCTCATGTGGGAAAAACTTATGAAGGAAGAAAAAGAAATCAAGGTTTACGACCCAACATCCGTGAAGAGAAAGGAAAAAAACAAAAAAAAACTTGACAAAAGGAAGAAGAGTTACATCGATTTAACGTTATTTTTTATAACAAATATTTCCGAATGACGCGAGGGGGATCTCCCTGCACAATTTAAGAACTGCTTCTTTCTAATTTTAGATGAAAATATGCTTGCACCAACTGTTAGTAGCGCGGAAAAGTCCACCTCATCATTTTTTGACAGCAATTTTCAAGACAGAATTATCCACTTTATCCATCTCATATTTTCCTTCACATAGCACTCATGCAAATCGCCTTTAATTATTAAACATATTCCTTTTAATTCATCTTATAAGTCAGGATAATTTTATTTTGTGCCTTTTTTGCACTCTTTTGTTTTTCCCCTGGACATCAGAGTGTAATCCTTTCATTTAACCCGTGCAGATTTTTCTGAAACGTATTCATGGAGCCTTTTTTTTTTTTTTTTTTCCCTTTTTGGCTTTAATATTTCTTTAATATAATTTTTAAAAGACAACACATGACACTACGCCAAGTGCGCATGTCACTGGTCTGTCATTTGTTGTTTTTCTTTTCGCCATTTCCGTCATCCTTGTCGCCATAATTATATTGTTTTAGTTTTTCAAAATTGTTTACTTTAAAATTAACATTTATTTTTTAAATGTAACTCCAGTTTCTTTTAAATGCTTTCGAAAAATTGAACGTATTTAGAAATTGTTGCGATTAAGAAGGCAACAAAAATATATCATTCATTTTTGCAACAACTCCTTTGTGTACTTGTCATCCACAGAAGGTAGATAAACATGTAATGCAAAAGTCCACAAAGAATTAGCAGCATAAACAGAAAAAACTAAAAAAAACATCATATAGAGGAACGAAAAAAAAAAAAAAGAAAGAACATTTTTTTCGCCCCTTAAGACAGTTACACATTTACACCGGCGCTATTTTTACAGTTTCTGTCCATTCCACTTGCCTGAAAAGTTAAAATTAATGGAGGGAAGAGGGGGGGTGGAAAAATGAATAATTGTGAATTTCCATGTGTTCAAGTTTTCGTAGCAAATGAGAGAGGTCTCGACCGATTTGGTGAATTTTGTCAATTGGTCCAATTAGGCCAATTTGTAAACATGCTTACTTCTTGCAAACGGGCGTGAGGAGAAACTTCTTCAAGTTTTGGAATTTGCCTGGGTGGCAGAATTAAGCGCGAAACGAAGTGTGTATGTGGCAATGGGGTGGTTAAGGTCCAGAAGTATATTTACACATGCGCGAGGACCTGTTCATACACACCTACACATACGTGTAAGTATCTGTCTGCATGTGTTTCTTACCTTCATCGAACGGGTTTTCCTCCTCGTATAAACCCTGAATGTCCTCATACGTCGTTCTATTACAGAGTATCATCTTTAAATGGTAAAAAAATAAATTAATTAGCAGCAGGGACGACGAGATGGTGTAAATAATATACAGCGCACTGCAGGGAGAAAGGGGGGGAAATGTGTTCCAATGGAGTTGTTCCTCACTATATGTTTTTTTTTGTTGTTGTTGTTTGCTCGATGCTTTTTATTTTTCTTTAACTTACACATGCGGATATTCAAAGGTTATGTAAAAAATAGACCCTAAGTTTATGTTATGGTATTCCTTCATGCACAGAGACTGCAAAAGAGGGGGAAATGATTAAATAGGCGTGGGAAGGGGTGACTAAATAATTACTGCTCTGCGGCAGGGAGGTCTCCCGTGTGCATACATCCACACACGCCTGTCCGTCCATTACAATAAAAATTCCAATAAAGGTAAAGCATATTATTGTTGAAAGGATTGACAAATTCAAAATAAAAAAAATAAATCTCCTGTAGTTTCGTGCCCCAATACAGTTCCCCAACCTGAGGGATGCATCGAAAAGGTGAAGAAAAAAGGAGAAAAATGAGGAGAAATAAATAATGGTGAGGACATATAACAAAAAGTGAAAAGAAACAAGACGCGCTCGTATAACGTGCGAATTGCGCACATCCCCCAATGCAATATGTATGCACATTTGAGACTCCACTTTCGTCTTTGCTTATTACCATACGCAGTGGTGATCAAATTTGGTGACACAGTTATTGCACGTGTAGCAGTGCTTGCTCCTGGGCTCTTTAAAATGGTTGCAGTGAACTGCAGGGGGCGCGGATAGAAAAACGGGAGGAAACGATGGGGGGGCAGACAAATGGATAGACAATCGAATGAACGAATAAAGAAAGTGAAAACCTACCACACCAGTAGTTCTTTACAATGGTTCCATTTATCTTTACAGTTGTGAAAGCAGCTAAACGGAAAGGGGTGTAAAAAATGCGAGGTAAACGAGTTTATGCGTAGAGATGGAGAATACAAACCATCTATATGAAAGTCCACAAAAACATGAGGCCACTCATAAATGAACAAGATTTTCGTTGAGCGCACTACACTCTGCTTACTTCTTCCCTTGGGCAAAGCTAAATCGACATAACTCTTTTTTGGAATTCTGCAACGGGTTAGAAAAAAAAAAAACAAAAAAACATTATAATATATTATTCGCATGTAATAATTTTACTTTGTAGTGGACTCATGCTCCTTCTCACATTCCAGGGTCACAAAATGCCGTCGTCGTTAGGAAATATAAAACTAAAATGAAGAAGGCCGTTATTGAAAGTATCGCAAGGCTTAACAATAGGAAGGTGTCTACGTGCGAATAGCTGTAATTCGGGTGGGAACAAATTACATGTGAAAATATATGTAAGCGTTGCGGCGCTATTGTAAAAGTTGTTAAAGGAGTAACAGGGAAAATAGATGTAGCTAGCTTTCCCTTCTGCTCCCTTTTTTGGAAGTATTTTTTCGTGTGCCCATATGTTGAAGTGTACACATATATGCAAAAAGTCATAATCAAGCACACATAAGGAAGCACGTGTGCATCTACGTTTTGTTCTTCTCCGCAAAATTCATTCGTATGTATTGCGTTATGCACAGGTGTGTTCCCTACTAAAAGGTGAACATGGTCCTCTCACAACGCTGTGCATATGTGCAGTAAAAATGGTAACGAAAGACTTACACAATTATGTAGATCGGGAGAACCGTTATAACTATGATCGTGTAGGTAAAAATGAGGTGAAGGATATTTGGCCCTGTTATTACTTTTCCATCACACAGAAAAATGTTGTTGCTTTCGTAAACTAGGGGGATCAAAAGTGGGAAAAAAGGGGGAGGACATGTGCGAAAGTATGCAAGTGTATACTCACGTATACATCGTTCTTATGATAACATATGTATAGGATTCTAGTATATATAAGGAGGACATTCATTAGGCATGTGTGGATCTCTATTTTTGCCCTTTTCTATAGATGTGCCGAACCCTTATATAACGGTAACAGGAAAGGAGCCCTGGCCCCTTTTGCTTGAAACATTTACGTGAAAATGTTTTTTTAAAAATATATAAAAAGAGAGGGGTGGTCTTATTTCTGTAGTGTAGATAATGTGAGTTATTCTTCATCTATGCAACATCTCATCTAATAAGGGATTCCTAAAGCGGGAGGCAAAATGACGGAATGATGGCGAAAGGAATGGCAACAAAAAAATATATATGTTCCAAAATATGGAGGCGAAATATATTCCCCGAAGTGGCACAAAACAGGTTCGGTCGCAGCACCGCCGTTGTTAAAGCACAAACGCGATTCCACAGAACGTGCATATATGTATGTGATGCGGGGCTGGGTGAGTGCTTTTCGCGAATGCAACGCTTACAACTTTTTAAAAAAATGCAAGCACCGTTTGTACTCCATTATTGAGCACTCGCGACGGTGATATATATATATATATATACATACGTAAAATACATGCGGAGGCACGGGCGCCCGCCAATGGAAGGGTTCATAAAAAATAAATTAAAATGCTGATGCACAGATGCGAGCGGTTGTAAGCATATGCGCATAAACGTAAGGTATAAATAAATCTACATGTAAATGCGGATATACAACATTGTGGAAATATGCATATATATGTGACACTTGTTACGTGGTCGAATCGATATAAAGCATCCTTTGAGCATGTTATGCGAGCCGTTTAGCAGATTGCGCGGCTGACAACAGCGCATTGGCTACATCAGCTAATTTCAACGCGCACAAGGTACCACAATTTGAATGCAGATCGGGAAAGCGCGAAGTATGCACAGCAGGTTTGCATATCCATGTATACTTACGTGGGGTGCACTTCTTCAGCATACATCTGCGGGTATCTAACCCAGGATAAACGCATAAAAGTAGGACAAAAAGATAGCCGAGAAACTTGCGGAAGGGGAAGGCAAAAAGAAAGAAAAAAATAATACTAAACGGTTTCCCTAGGGACCGTAGCGGAGGAGAGTAGACTGCAGTTAAAAGGGCAAGGCTCCAGATATGCCAGATAAACTAACGATTTTTTAAAATGCAAGAACAAAATGACGGGCTTACAATTTTTCGGAAAAGTAAAAAAAACAGAAATACAAGAAATTGAGAAAAAACTGCTGCATATTCACAAGTGTGTTACTGCGAGCTTGAACAATTCAAACCTTTTAAATAAAGGAGAAATAATTTTCCATTGGAAAAAATGTCATATGTGTGTAACAGATGTGAAAACGCATGTAACAGGTTTAAAAACACATGTAACAGAATTTTTTGAGAATTACAAGAATTTTGAGATTTGCAATGAAATCAATTTATCAATCGGTGAGTACTTTATGTACCTTATTATATACTTGAAAAATGTGAAAATTAAGATAAATTCCTTTAGAATTCTTAATTTGTATATTTTTGCGAACAATAAGTGGAAGGATAAATTAATTTACCATTTTTTGAAAAATCTCTTTTTAAAAAATGACCATGAAGACAATGATTGCATGAATTGCAAAACGTTAATAATCGAATATTTCATAAATAATTATGGCACATTTCGGGAGCAGCACATTGGGCTATTTTACACGAATATTTTGAGATACATCAACAACAAATTGAAAATAAATTTTTTAAAAAAAAACCAAAATTATTTAAACATTTTTGCCAATTTTCTTATCACTTACAATGGGAATGCAACACTCGACATAAAAAGTCATATGCTTAAGGCTTTTTTACTTATTGCGAAAAATTTAAAAAAAATTTTGTTGCAGTTCCCTTTTGACAAAGACATATGCACACATGTGTGCTTGATTTACCAGCAGCTGAAAAATGTCATAGAAGCTTACCGAGTGAACATATGTCTTCTTTTGTCCGAGAAGGCACAACTCTCCCCTATCCCAGAAGTTGGAGTTGAGTCCAACCAGGTCAGTCAGCATGGCGATCCTCCCAGCTACTTGGACAGTGATGAAGAATTTGACATAGCTGAGGAGGAAGAAGTGGGGGCGGGAATCCACGGGGGCGTAAACCACACAAGCGTGCTGCTTCTGCGCAAGTACCTATTCTGCATAAAAAAGATACAACAGGTGTTGCAACAGTGTGACAACGTTATTAAGGAGAAGAAAAGAGAAAATCCCTTTTTACTATTGTGTAAATATAGAAGCATATTAATTATAAAATATAAAAATGTAAGACGCGTGGACATTAATGACAACTTGGAATATTTTATATTATTTTTTAAAATAAAAAATTTACTATGTGAGGGAAGCAAGAACCCTTTTTTTATCTTTCTGTGCATAGACAGCTTAAGTTACTGGTTACAAAAAAATGAAAAATTGCAGTACATTTTTGAACATGCCAAGGGAGCAGTCATACCAAAGCGTGAAGAATCCGATGTGTGTTTTCTTACCGATGGGTTACCCAATAATTGTGCCGATGAATGGGTAGGGCATAACGCAATGAAGAGAGGTTGTCCTGAGGAAAAAGTTCCTTGGCAAAATAATGACTGCTCGAATGGAGGCCTCACACCTTTGGCCTGTACCGATTTGTTGCACTTGGCCGACCAGAGTGATGATAAAATTGAAGTGGATGCCACCCCCATTAGTCATGACAAAACGGTTGTTAAACTCAGCCAAAATTACGGTTGTAGTGATTGTAAAGGTGACCCCCCTTTGTGTGGTGCAGATTTTCCGCGCAATGGTGAAGTCAGGGAAGTTCCTGGGGATGCCAAAATGATAAGCGGAGGGAACACTCCTGAAGGGGTAACCAATGAGCAGGAGAACATTTCACCCGTACAGATGGACGAACTGGTTAAAATGGACAACTGTGTCAACATAAGTAGTTTAAGAATCCACTTTGAAAATGTGTCTCAGAAAAACAGAGTCGATTTTATGTCCCATTTGTACAGCGCAATTATGAAAATCTTACTAGTAATTCTTAAAAAGTATTCATGGTATAACATAAAAATTATATGGAAAAGTTGTATTGGCATATACGAATTCTTACTGAGTAGCAAGAAAAATGCATTTATAAAAAAAGACGTATGTGATCATTTAACGTATATAATTTTTAATCAGGAAAAAAAAAAGAAATATATGTGTTTATCATTATTGTTAAAATATTTTAAAGAATCCATGTGTGAAAAAAATGTATTAGAATATCTTTTTTACTGCTTCTTTCAAAATGACGACTTTTTCATGTTCACTTTGTACGAGCTTATAAAGCAATGCATTAAACATATATTTGTGCACTCGAAGGATAAGAATTTGTTATACTACATTTTTTTAAAGAACATTTTAATAACAGATAACATTTGCATGAAGACGTTCTACATAAAAAAATTTATCGAGTTGTTTTACAAGCATGATAGTAATTATGTGTACTTTGTTTTGAATAAGGAGTATTCTGATTTGCAAAATTATTTTGATATGTCCCAGGAGGAGGATCAAGAAGGAGGAAGCATCCAAGCAGGTGGAACCAAACTGTGGCGAAACAGTGTAGATAGTTTTATTAGCATGAGCAATATGAAGAGTGTGCACAGTGTGAAGAATTCCGAGGAAATGACAAACAGACGTTATTTTTTATTTTTAATGAAGCAATTGTTGGAGAGAAAAGATGCAGAAGAAATTGCGTACAACTGTATTGTAGACCAAATGGAGGATAACATTTTTTTGAATTACAAAATTGTGAAAGGCGAAACGAACGAATTGCAGAAAAATGCTCCTAATGTGAAGGACAAGACGTTGGAAAATAAATTTTTGATTTACAATTTTCACTCTTTAGAAAATATCGCCCTCTTAGAGCTGTACACATTATGCACTTTGCGAAAGTACGAATCCATCGAAGTTGTATATTACAAAGGTGACTACTTCTATCAGCTGAGGAAGAATGTTTTGCTAAATGTGAAAATTTTAAACAGCTTTTTTTACTTTTCGAATGACGAAATTGTGTTGTCCATTTTGTCCTTCATTTGCGAAAACAAATATTTGAACCTCTGTGACTTGTATCTATTCCGCACGTTTTTAATCACTTCCATAACAAATATTTCGAGGACGAGTCGGGATGCCTACAGGAAATACATTCTTTTGTTCTTCGAGAAATTTTTTATATATTACCAGAGGATGATCGCGATGGACAAGCGAAGGGGCTACAACATCGAGGGGGATATACACCATGATGCTACCCATGTGGATAAATACTCATTTGAAGTCCAAAAAGTTGTTTCCTTCCTATATGGAAATGTGGACTCACTGCGAGAAAAACCGGTTTGCGACTCACCAAAGAACGTTTACTCGAGCTGCATATTTCATTCTGCTGACGAAAAACACGTAGAGCACAGGAAGGGGATCTTCCTGTACAATTACTACCTCATGAATATCATTTTTGTTCTGTTTAAGAATACTAATAAAGACATGGGTATCGAGGCAACTGTGTACTGCTCGGACATACTAAACACGGTAGTAGATTATTGCGCACATTTCGAAAATTTTAATTTTATTTTTTTCCTATTCAATGCCAAAACGACTTGGAAGGAGTTTTACCTAATATCGAAGGAGATCTTTTTCAAAACTGTGAATATAAATTTGCTAAAAAGAGAAAGCTTTGCCTGCTTAAATAATGCATTCCTACCATTGGTAAAATCGCACAGGCAGGTGGACCATTCGTTTTACGCGTTCTTACTAAGATTGTGCTTCATTTCGTTAAATCACCGTAGGAAGGTGAACAAGATGGAGGACGGAATGCCCACCCACATTCTCAATACCACAAGCAGTGACAACTATCAGATATACGAACAGATAAATAATTTGCGCCAGAACACGAATAGGGATGGTGTTTCCCCATGTGACTTTTTCAGTTGTCTCATTAAATACAACGACATTGAACATATAAAGGAGGACAACAAATATTTAATAAATTACGTGAAGTACCTATTTGGTGATAGTGGCGAGAATAGTGAGAAATTTGTGAGCGGCGCGATGATAAACATCCCATTGTACATATTCGAAAGTTTTATTAACAAACTTAAAGAAGAAAATATCGTAAAATTAACCAAACACGAGGACGTAGAAAATTGCGAAATGTATAAATTGGCCTATTACATAAATAAGTTTATTTTGTACCTTAAGGACAACATGGATTTCAGCAAAGACATAGAAGGGGCAGCGTTTAGGAAACACTTCTGCGAAATTAGCTTGTGCAATTCGAGCACATATTTGAATTTAGAGCAATATAAGCTGTTGCATTTACAGAGCCAGACTGTTGAATCGTCCGATGGCTACCATTTAATATTGTTAAAAGTGTACATCTGCAACGTGCTGCACCATTTTATCAGTTATTTGAACTTTCTATTTATGAATGAGTCAAAGAACTTTTTTTTCGACTGCAGAGGGCACCTAATTTTTCAAGATGAAAGTGAGAAGGAAGCAACGTCTATTATCATTTGGTTGTCTATCAAGTACATATCCATTTTGTTTACCTCTATCGTTGACTTTTCCTTCAAATTTAATATTAACACTTCTGAGGGTGGCGACAACCGGGGCAGAAACGACCACTCCACGTTAGCAAATTGCGACTCCAAAGGTGAAAGTGTGGGAGATGCAAATTGTGGCAGTGTAAAGAAAAACCTTTCTTTGTGCTTTTTTCACAGTACAGAAATTCACCTTATCATTCAGAACCTTCTGTGTCTTCTGCTGCACTCCAAGCATATAGCATGCCAGCAGTATCTGTCTGATTGCCTTTTGGATGTGTGCAGAATTATAGTCATGAGGAGTGGCGAAAGTATGCAAACCATTCCCTTGTTCTACGTGTATATCATTTTGCTTATTTTTAAAAACGAAAGCGGGGAATCGAAATGTACCGGGGAAGATGGCAACCAAGTGGACAAAGCTTCTGAGAGGAGCAGCCATATTTCCTCCAATGTACCCATCAGAAACGAAAATTCAGAGGACGCAGAACTCAACATTGAGTTTCTAACGGGAATTATGAACCGATTAAACAAAATGCTCACGACAAAGGAGGAAAATAATGTAGACGTAAGTGAAATTTTATCTGCACATTTTTTAAAGGGCAATTTTACACCGCCCAAGTTGGACTCACATGATCAACCCGCAGTTCAGAACATCACCCAAAGGAAAAACAAAGTAGGAAACGATGAACCCAAATGTGCGACAGCTCCCCATGTGAGTAATAATTTCAAGCTAAATGACAAGTTACACATGCTCATTTGGGATGAACAGAGAATAAACACAAATTTTCTGAGAAAGTCAAGCAACATGTGTCTAGCGCTGAGTTCTTTAGTCAAATCGTATAAAGCAAAAGAGCAGTACATCATATACAATTTTGTCATAAAAATTATAATCAATTATTTGCTTAACGGAAATAATAAGTATAAAAAGGTCATTTGCGTGAACATTATAAAACATATATACACCATTATTGATAATAAAACGCTTTATGAGTACATGAACGATATTTACAAAATAGCTTTAATTTACTACAAGAGTAGATTTTTTTGTTTGAAAAGTGCTAGCACATCACTGTACAATATTTTAACCAAACGTCTATTGGCCAAGCTGAATTATTCCTACCATGTGTCTTCCAACATGTATTATTTCTGTACGGGCAGCAAAAGAAGAATATTTAAAAACATGAATTTAACTTTTTTCGATTTATTAAATTCGGTCAACTTATTAAAGATATTTTTAAATGTGTTTATGAAAAAGGGAAAATATTTAAATGGACAAAATTGTAGCAAAAATGAATGTAAACCTTTTTTTGACTATTCCAATTTTTATGCCCAATTTATCCCCATTTTGATATTTCTGTCAAATGTTATCATTTTTAACAATGACGATTATTTCTTACTAAGAAATGTGAAGGGTGATTTGCGAGCTGCGCATAGTGCGCACCAGTTTTCTCCACACAGTGCCTCTCCGACGGATACAGGCGGGAATTTTGTAGAAGAATGTGACAGCCCCAGCGATGTGCAAGAACACGGGGGAAACGTAGAATGGACAGAGCCTCCTACGGGTAATCACCCCTCGGAAGATACAGGTGGGGAAAATCAAACACAAATAAGCAACATGAACATATACTTCCTTTTTGTGAAACACCTGAAAAAGTTACTCACCTACGGAAACTACTTCGTCCAAGTGCTCATTTGCAGAATAATCGTCAATGTGTATATCCATATATACCTAAAGCTGAAAAAACAAAATCTGATTTTTAACTTTTTAAACAAAATTGTAATAAACGCCATGCAAGAAAGGGGTAGAACAAATTGCTATCTGCTTCTGTTCATAGAATTCGTGCGGAGGAAGGAGTCAAAAATGTTAGTAGAGGAAAATAAAAAAAAGTTCAGAAAAATATTCTTCCAATTTTTATTCCTATTTGTGAAAAGCGAGAGGTATGTAGACGTTTTGCTAATTTTACAAATATTAAACATTTTGTATAGCAAGATATCCATTTCGCTGGACCAAAATGTTGTGGCTTTCTTGTTTAGACGATTGACACTATATCAGGATGATATGTTCATATCCGTTTTGGTGAATGAACTGTTGATGAAAATAACTAAGCGGGTTGAAAATTTTGTTGCCCTGCTGGACATATACGCATCGAGTAAGAACGAGAGACACATAGAGTCGTTCCTCTACAACTGGTTTCTTCACACAAAAAAAAGGCACAAGAAGGAGTTTCAAACAAAGGAGAAGAAGCTCAGTGAAATGTCAAATTATAGTTCTTTTAAGTTTTTCTCTGAGTGTTATAAAAAGGGGGTGAACATTCCCGTGGGTGGTGTGGAATGGTTAGATGGGACTAAGGGAAGTGCCTCTGGCGATAGTGAACGAGAGGTCCATGGGTGGGACGGTAAAACGGACGAATCAGTGGATGAAAGGATATACATCTATTTGTACCTTTTACTTTTCCAAATAATTCACACGTATAAGGACAACATAAAAATTAAAAAGTACTGCTTCAGTATCCTGTTGACAATTATAACATGTATATCCATTGAGAATTTGTTCCTGTTCGAGCGTGTGCAGCAATATTACATAGAACACGTGAAGCAGAACTACCTGGACAAGTACATCATTTCATATAGCTACCTTATATGCGTAAAGTACTTTTCGATGGAGCAAAAGGAAGAAGGTAGGAAGAGTCAGGAGGACCGCTGCGAACCTGGCAACAGATTTATCGAAGCTGTTTACAACTTTATTGACAGAGAGAAGGAGAGCATTGGTTCATCTCTCAATCGTAACTCGAAGGAATCTCTTTTCAAGTATGCATACTTTTACTTGCTCCTTTTTCTAAATTTGCTGTCCCGTCTGTGTAACAAAAATTCGGTGACGTATACGAAATATTTTGTGAAGGCCTTCATGAACTACGGAATTGTTGAATATTTCCACGAGCATCTAGAGGAGGAGGAAGCAAAAATGAAAATTGTCAACGGAATTGGAGGTGATGATGTCTGTAATAATGATGTCACGGTACCCAAAGGAGACACCCATTCTTCACTTGGATACCCTACCGGACATGATTCCCCAAATTGGAGCAACATAAATGGAGCGAGAGGAAATAACAAAAATGAAATGTTCAATGTGACACAATTTTTGAAGAATAAATATTCCCCTGAAGGTACCCCCCAAGTGAATACTCCCAATTATGCGCTTCCCAAGGAAGTGAGTAAAGGCTGCGATGGACGCATAACCGCGTATACAAAATACAAAGAATGGTACAGAACCGATTTGAACCAGTGGATAATGGAAGTAGTGAAAAACAAAGTCAGGAACCAAAATATTGCATTCGATTTTGTGTATGTCAAAAATTCACTAAAGCATCTCAGAGGACATAACTTGTTTACCGCCTTCTTTGTGGCACTTTACTCTTGCCTGATATTTATGTTAAATGATGAAAACGAACTCATAAGATACAAGACCAAAATTGCAGTGTTGCACATGATGAGGAAGAAGAACACGTTACATGTGTATCGAACTATGAAAGACATAATCTGTGTTGAGTTCTTTATTTATTACCTGTCCAAGTGGCACCAACATTTAGCCCTACACATATTAACCTTTTGCATATGCCAAACGAAGAGCTGCATTACGGATAAATTCTATTACAACCCTATTAAATTATTTGATCAAGAAAAGTACAATTTGTATATTAACAATGTGTTACTCAACCATTTGTTTGTATTTTATTACCTATTTAATATCACTGCGCTTTACGCGGGAAGGAGTTCAACACGGGAGATTACTGACTTTTACCATTTCATCGATACGCTAGGTGGCCAAAAGAAGGATGCCTTCGTGAAAAATGTAAACATTGAAAATGCAGCTCCGGTTCTTTCGAAGGATGAAATCAGTTTGGCTAGCCACGATTTATATGTGTTGAAAAATGGTGCCGTATGGGAGAAGGTATTGGACAGATTAGTCCGTAAGCGAACCTTTTATACGGAGTGCCACACTTTGGGTGGCAAAGCGGAACGGCCCCTTAGAACCACTTCCCTGTTGTTATGCAGGGAAACGCAGATGCCATCCTACATGGGCACCTTTCTAATATTCCTACGAATGGGCTATATCGCACATATTAAGAAGAGCCTAGACGATTATGCGCATCTGCTACTGTTACACAAAAATTTGGACCTTTTTGATTCCAACTTTGTCATTTGCTGGAGCAACCTATTCAACAAAATAATTATTCTTCTAATCAACATATTCATTTTTTTTCAAAAACGTATAGCCCTATATTACAACAGTTATTTTTACGAAGAAATAAATATGATTAAGTCGAAGTTTGCGCTAATTTATAGCACCTTCAAATTGGTAAGACATGAAATGAATCCGTTTTTGCTGAAAACTATGGAGCTTCTGTTGTCCATCATGGACACTGTCTTTTTAAAAAACAGCAACTTCTTTTCAGATATATACACCTTATTATACTCTTTGAAGAGTTCCGTTTAATGGGCTGTTTGATGAGCTGAGGTGCAAGGCCGGTTTAGTCGCGTTAGCAGCATTGGCCACTTTGGCATTCTGCTTATGGTTCGGCCGGTCCACTACTATGATATTGGAGTCTGTTACTACTTTTCGTTCATGTCTTTTCGTGCTCAATTTTTTATTCCATTTTTTGTACTCTTTAAATTTTTTTTTAAAAATATTAAAATTTTTTTTTTATTTCATAATGGGTTTAATTAAATAATATCAGTTACGTAAAAAAATAAATAAAATAAATAAACAAAGGAACAACGTAGGAATGGAAAAGGGTGAATTGCTGGACGAATGATATATGCATTTGAACGGAGTATAATATGTGCCTATTACGAATTTTAAAATTTATCTGGAAAGCACTCCTTCACATCCTTATTGTGTTTATTCTGGGCATGTTCGGCTAGCTGTGCAATGCTCTGCGTCTGCATAAATACAGTATAACACACCTACAGGGGAGGGAACATTTTTGGTGAAAAGAGGCCACGTAATTTTTTAAGAGTATTAAGTCCATTCGCATATGTACGTGGGTCTCTTCTCTTCAGTTAGCAAAATTGGAACTTTCGCCCTGTGCGGGTGCGAAATGACGCTTTCGCTTATGTAGACAACCCGTAATAATACGTAGACAGGAAGCTACGGTGCGCACTTTGCTCCTCCGACTTACTTTGCAAATCACGTTTAGAGCGTCTTTGTTCGCTTTCAGTTGAGACTTTCCCGCTTTCACTTCCACATTCTTCCTCTCCCTTGCTTGGTTCCTTTTCTGTTGAGAAATTATGGGGTGCATGCGTGTGGAAAGGTATGTACACTTATGTACGAAGATAGCTAAATATGTTTACACACAGACATATTTTCTTACACGCGCGTAGGCAGGTGCGAAATGGTGTGTACATCTACGCAGGTTTTTTTTGTTCTTTTCTTTTTATATGTTTTTTTTCAAAACGTACACAAGCGTTGCTTCCTTTTCCCATTGTGCTACTCCTAGTAAGGTGTACTTGTTTCCTTTGGATTACGAAAAAAATCAAATGTACGTCAAAAGGGCCAAATCAGCACACTCGAAAGTAAGGTGCAACACAGGTGTATCTTTGTATGTTCATAAGTATGTCCAAGCGCATGCCTGTACTGATATGCATATGTACATGTGCATATCGTGGACTGTTTTTCTTATGGCATACTTAGCGTTGTGTACATAAAAAAAATATCGTGGGCAATTATTAATAAAGGTCAAACGCGTTTCAAAAAATTGGCGTTTTCTTTTGCTTCATATTCTTAAACATATCATATGAATTTTAAATGATTTCGTTGCACATATACACGTTCGGCGTATTCATTGCATATGCATAGCAATAGCGTATATATGTGGAGAACAAAACAGACATAATAACATCACAAAAGGAAATAATGCGGAGGAGAATGTTTCTTCTCGTTAAGGCGGGAAAAAAAACATGAATGCATATGCGTGAATAATTTGTTGTACAGGATGCAACAATTTAACTAATCATTAAAATGGGGAAATCCAAGAAATGCTGCCATAGAATGGTTACATCAGCATGGTGAAAAAAATTATTATATACAAAATGAGTTAACTACGCAAATCGACACAGAATTCATATCGAATGTATGCACAATCGCAAGGAAGTAAAATGAAAATTTTAAATTCGAATATCCGAAAAAAAAAAAAAAAAAAAAAAAAAGTAAAAAAATGTCAATAGAAACAAAATGCTATCAGAAAGAAAAAACAGTTTGCAAAACGTTACATGGAACAATGCGCAAAGCTGCAAATCGTTAATCCTTTGGTATTGCCACATGCGTAGGATATTTTTTTGTTCATTTTTCGCTCTGTCCCCTTTTTGCTTTTCTCCCCCAATTTATTTTTTTCACATTTTCATGATTAAGAACTGTGTTAACACATTTAAAGGGGCCGAAAACGGCCTTTACAAAGGCAGCAGAAAAGTAGCCCCATACGCTCACATTTGCATGCTATATATGTAAACATGTCCACATATGCGTATCAGTTAACCTTCTTTGAAATGGAACACCCTTGGAAGGAAAACATGACGTACGATTTACGCATAGAGCAAAGCAACATCTCATTGACTTAGGATGAATTTTTTTTTTTTTTTCCACTAAGCTTAAGTGGCTAGTCATTTCGAGACATCAACGGGACACACATGTAAAAAGTTCAAAAGGTCATGTCCACCAGCATTTTGTACACCCCCAACCATATTCATTGTTAATCAGTTGTGTTAAATTTTTTTCCGTATTTTGGTGAAATTTTGTACAACATTATTTGCTAAATAAGGAAGAATGTAAACGACGGGGGGGAAAGGTGCAAGGTAAATTGGGGGTGTTGCGTATACAACATGCTGGCACCATCACCACTGTAATGTATAGAAAGATCCAGAGCAACACCCTCGGTTAGTAAGTCCCTTTGTGGTGCACAGTAATATGGATGAGCTAACTATTGCTGCTTCTTACGTATAACATACTATGAGCAATGTATGCGCAAAGTGGACAGTTTTTGTCAGTAATTTTTCAAGACATGGTACAATATAAAGGGGTAATAAATAGACATTATATTTTTCCTCATTAAAACAATGCATGGTGTAAGTCTTTTGTTCTCCTTCATAAGTCAAAGTGGGCATATAAAATGAATGTGTAACATGCTCGTAAGAAAATACCCAGGTGCGAAAAACGCCCCATGCTTTTCTGACATTTCATTATTTTTGCAACATGTTATATAAACTATAGATGGACAGTGCAGTAATTATCGTCCATGTGTTTTTGGAACCCTCATGGTTGTGTACTTTTCTTTCCAATTTTGATACTTTATATAAAAATGACTTCCTTTTTCTCGCATCGCAACTCCTGTTAATGGATACAATTACGCCATTGTATGTTAATAGGAAGAAGTAACTAACAATTTACGATATATTTTTGTACTTCAAAATTGTAACATCTTCCTTGAATACGCGTATAAGCGAGAAAAGGATTAAAAAGAAAATAAAAATGTTCCGTTCGTTTGGAAAAAAAAAAAAAAAAATACAAGAATACAGTGGAATGCCTCTCCTAAAAAATTACACAATGGAGAGTGCAATTCTGTGCACGTAAAAATAAAATAAAAAAAAATCACACCAATGTAGACCTCATTACGATATGTGTAAATATTTCCATCTACACGAATTAGCAGACAGATACAGTCTTTTTTTTTTTTTTTAAATGGAATATACTTTTTGTTCTTCCATGTGCGTCATTAAAAGGTTGGTTGGGTCAATTATGGAGAATAAAAAAAAAAAAAAAAAAAAAAAAAAATACAAACGCTGTAATTAAAAGTAAAAGATTTAACCAATGAGTAGTCATTTTCTTTTTTTTGCTGAATCGTGATGGTAAGCATACCACAGAAAGTACAATCTTTGTGCTTAGATTCAATCAAATGTTAAAATATGCGGGTAATTGTGTATTGTACACATGTATACACACGTTTTAACAACATTTCTGTTTCCGCTGGCGCGCCCCCATGATTAGCGCAATGAGGGTGACACATATTTAGAGAAGCGGAAAAAACAAAATAAAAAGACAAAATTTTTAGACGGTTGTAGGAAGGTGTGGTTTAGTGTGAATTGCGCTTACTTACCCATAATGAAATTTACTTCTTTTATGAAGAAAATTTTTATTTTTAACGTAGTCATTTCTGTTTTGAATAAGTATGTAAAAAGGGAATCCTGTGATTTTTCCTTTTTTATATATTCGTTAAAAACAAAGGGTTTTAATAATGCAAATTTTAACAGCAGCGATGAATACACTGGAGACACGAGTGGCATCGATGGTGAGGGAGGAGAAAACGTGAAGGCGCCTTTTACAAACGCTGCAGAGGATAAAACGAGAAGCACTATAGGCTGTATTAGTGGTGCTGCTGTTTGGAGATGCAGTGGCAACAAAATAATCAACATAAGCCAGCTAAATGCAACCATCACCAACTTCTTCTCAAGCGCTCTGGCGGAAGCAATTGGGAAAAAACCGGATAAAGGAAAACACCAAGATGACAAGCAAAAGGAAAATGAAGCGGTGAAAAGTAGAAGAATACCAATAGTACATACCTCCATCGATGATATTAAAGAATATGCCTATGTGAAGGGGAAATTGAAATTGATCTATGTCAGATCCTTCTACGATAATGATGGTGATGATAGCAATCTCAAAGAGTTATATGAGGCAAAGTTCCAATTTTACAAAGACAGAGTAATTTATGTTACGACCTTTGCTTTGGTAAAAAATTCCCTAAGCAACAATATTAACCAAACAGAAAAATGGTTAAATGCCTCGATGAAGGTTTTACAAAAAAATTATTATAAAATATCCGCAAGGTGTAATCCTGCAATAGAAACATTTTATGGAAGCATTTCATTTAGTGAAGAAGAACTCAAGCAGTTTGAAGCATTAAGAAAGGCACTGAAAAGGAACGTAAATATAACACATGATAATCTTTTTTCCAACTTGGATATATTTAAAAGTGCCAAGAGGAAATACCTCGAGTACATGAATTACAGTTCTGTGGATCCCAGTTTTATGAGCACGGTAGATGCAAAGGATGGCCATTCAGATGTTACGGATTCTTTCCATGTAGAGCAGGATCTTCTGAAAAGTTTAAATCCCTTCGATAAAATAAAATATGTGTCCCACGGGAGAGTCAAAAATAGCCATAAGATAGTGTGTACCCTTGAGAAAGACTGTAAGTGCATCTTCAAAAAGAGGCACATTTGAGATGCTTCGAAATGTTCTGCGTGGGAGATTATCCCTTAACGCAGATATAGCGCATTGTCATTGCATGGGCGAACGTTGTTAAATTATTTTGTTTCCTTCTTCTGGGGACAGTGTGCACTGCGTCTTGGGTAACGTGACCCATAAGTCGGTATGGACTACACGTAGCAGTTGCTCCCATTCACGCAAAAAAAAAAAAATAAATAAATAAATAAAATAAAATAATTATGGTTAACAAAAAGATGCAATAGTGTGCACAATGTGAGCTATGCATACGTTTAATGACTCTCCTATGATAACCGTTTCTACTTTTCGCACCTCGCAATGAGAACCGATCCCCAGTTCTCAATTGTGTGAGTATATATACATGCACGCATGCACCTGTAATCTCACCTTCAAGAAGACGACATGTTTCTTTCCCCAACCCCATCCAACTGCAGTTAAGAAGGTGGAAGACCGATTCATCTTGTACAACCTGATACGAGACAACATAATCGAATCGGAAGAAACTACCGAAGTGATTATTTTTGAGACCAGCAAGAATGGAATATTCACCTACGATGCAAAACATTCCAAAGAGATCAACCTGATAAGTAAAAACTTTGAAATAGAAATTATGATGGACAGTAATGCATTCTTAAACGAACATGATAAATATTTTTATTTAAATAAGTATAATTCTGTACACTTGGAGCTCCAAAATAAGGGCATAATAAAATATGATTTTATTTATTCCTGGTTATCTACCTACTTCATCGATAGCCACAAGCATAAATTCTTTTACCCCTGTTTTTATGTGTCTACACAGTATGATGTTTTTGATAGTGGATTATATGGGGTCAATTTTTACACTCCTCAATATCATACTTTGTCTGAGCAAGTACAAAGCAGTTCTCCGCACTTGGACAGTTGGAAAAAGGAGGTGGATAGTAACGTGCCAAACGAAGAGGTAAGCCAGGGAGGCACTACAAAGAGCATTCAAAACGATAACAGTTTCTCCTTCTTAGAGTTAAAGACAACTCTACATAATGAGAATGTTGGAAGGGGGAGTCATGGGAATAAGTCAGGCTACCATAGAAACAGCGGGATGGAAGGCGATAGTAACCAAGGCAATTCCGCCAAGGATGCTCACATGAATCCGAATAATATGGGAAGTAGAGGTGCTGAAAGGGACAAGGGAGAGGAGAAAAATACTTATGATCCTTCACATGTCCGTATGGTCCCTCCTGCTAATAAACAAGGTGTTAATGTTATGGGCTCTAAAATGAATGCCCAGATAGGTAAAACAAGAACTGATGTGCCACGTAAAAATATTAATGCAAAAAAAGCAACGGCCAGAAAAGGTCCTAACAATAAGGCTGCTACAAATGACTCCAGTAATTCCTATTTGGATAATGTCTTTGGATACGTGAACAAAATAAAAAATGTCATTTGCGGTGATGAAGAAAATGCGTCTACCAGCCACACTTCTCATAAAATGTCTGATAAGCGCGAAAAATCAAAGATGCCTCAACAAGGTAAGTCCACGCGTAAGAATTCCATACGTGATAACTTCACACCGGATGACGCAATCATACCCTGGATAGAACCATTCAACGAGGACATTCAGAAAATGAAGGCCATGTACATATCGAAGGAAAAACCCCCGCCACTGGAACAACAAGCCAAAAAAGCATTCCCTTCAATGGAGGAACCTAATAAATACTCTAAAGAGCCAGCCACGGATCAGCCAATACCCCCCGTTCCAAACATGCACCATGAAATTATTTCGTCAGAACCCAAGCACGCGCCTGTGGAAGAGGTCCCCAATGTTGCAGCAGGGCAAGCACCCATGCAGGAATATGAGTCCACAACAGAACAACATCCTCCTACTTCATATCCTTCCTGTCCAGCGCAGCAGCCTGTTACGGCGCAACCGACCCCATCATCCCCCCAAAAGACCTTTGACACAATACATGTCAAAGACATTGAAGACTACACAGAAAAAAAGTCAAATGAACATTTCGCCCAAAACCCGAAGGAACCAAATGAAGAAAAGTATGACAAAAATGGGGAGGACAATTTTGAAAAAAAAACGGAAGAGCATTTTGGAGAGAATGCAGAAGACTCCTTTGGGAATAAAATGGAGACTCAGCTGCAGGAAACGTTGCTGCAACAAGTTGAAGAGGAATCTTTTGAAAAAAAAAAGGAATATATGAGTAAACTATCTGAAGATCACAAATACGATTCGTTAATCCCCTTTTTGTATAAAACATTTCATGATAAGGCACTCTTATCCGGTGATTTTCTCAAGAGTGACCATTACGATAGGGATGACTCTGATAAGTTATCGGTGCAACGAAACTCAAGTGACGATTCTAATGAAGATTTTGTTCATTCATACTATCAATTTCCGTCTTTAAGGGAAGGCAGCAAAACGTTTGCAAGCAATTTATCTGGGGATTCCTCCGACGCTGATAACACACATGTACGAGATGTAGATGAAAATTTAAAAGATAAGATTTATGAACAGAATGATTATTTTCCAAGGTATAAATACATACTAGAAGAACACCCAAGTAGAATAATTGTGGGATTGCTTCAGGACGACACAGAAACTGCTTTCATTGTGGACTGGCTATATGGGGATAATATACTATGCGTACTTAGATCCAAATTTTACAAAGAGTTATATTACAATATGGTACGAAAAAACTATTTGAAAGTTTTGAATAATTTTAAATTTGGAAATGATAAGGAATTGACCACAATGTCTAGTGATACTAAGGGGGTAACTATGAGTGCGAATTTTTATCCTCATTTTTCGGCCATAAAATTCTTTTTTAATGATAAAAGTAGTGACAACTTTGAGAATGAACTGAAGTCTTATATGTTGATCATCCACTATTTGCTAAATTCGTATAGTAGTCCTTGTAAGGATTACAAGAATGTTAAATATTTTTACAGCGACGATACTTTCAATGTGACTCACTTAAATTTTATCAGTGACAAATTACTTGCGCTAATCTCCGAGTGCGCCTTGGAAACTATGAATTGGGACATCCCCATAGGGATAATAAGAAAAAATGAAAATGGCATCAATAGGACCATTTTCAGTAGGACCTTAAAAGATGTGAGAAGAAGTGTACATGACTATGCACTCAAATTTAGAACGATAAAAGGAAAGGATGCAGTTCAATTTGCCATGAGTAATTATACCACGGTCGCAGACGATTACAACGTTAAGTATGATATTTTTCTTAACGTCATATCTAGACTGTTCTATTTGCACGCTGTAGGTCTTGTCCATGGCAACATCAAGGCAGATAACTTTGTTGTTCAGGAGAACGAAGAAGACGATAAGCATGTAAAGGTCCTTCTAAGGTCATTTAACGATGTTGTGGAAGAAGGCGGTTATGGAAATTTCAAAGGAAGCGCAATTTACGCAGCTCCCGAAAAATTAAAATCGTACTTCAATACCATCACGTATAATTTAAAAAGTGATGCTTTTTCTCTGGGATTGAGTTTAGCTACTATATTTACCAAAAAAGAGTTTTTCCTTCAAAAGCTAGAAAGGAAGTTAACGTATCCTGTGGATAAATATATCCTCAGTCTAGTTCGAAGAAACCCCATGGTGTTACTATGGATCAAATCGATTAATCCATTTTTACGGAAACGACTAAGTATATATAAATTTAGATCCTACTTGAAAGTTAGCGTGGAAGAACTAGAGAGAAGGCTGTCTGAAAAAAGTGTCTACAAATGGTTTGATGACAAATTCCAATTCATTAATTACGAGGAGGAAGAAAAATTACATGATCTTTTTACAAAAGCGGAAGGGAGAAATGTATCTGGATTGAGCAAGAACTCATCCGAAATGAATACCGAACAAAAGCAAAACGATTTGGAATCCTGTTTTTTTCGTTACACTCATGCATCGAACACGGAGAAGGGAGGTGACATGAACACTCCAAAGGACTCCTACTCCCTTCATATTTTCAAGGGAGAATCTTCATCTATTGGCAAGAACGAAGGTGTTTCTTTTTATCAATTTCCTGTGGGGGTAAACCGTACAAGTGCGTCTATACGAGGAAGAGATTATAGCGATGGTGACAGCGATGGTAGCGGGGGTAAAACTGACCAAAGCACGAAACACTACTTTTCAAGCATTTTCAAGCACGACTTTTGGCAAAGTCCTATCCAAAGGAATAAGAAGTTCCGGAAAAGGAAAAAAGATGGTAGGGAAAATATTTACAAAATACCATTCGATAGAAATTTCGAACACCAAGTGGATTTCTCCTCTATAGATGCACACAATAGGAAGAATTATATTAACGCATGTTACTCTTTTAAAAATGAAGTTGTCGGGACTGCCATGAAGACGCTGTCCATTGAACATGAAGCTTATAGGGCGGACTTATTTGACATGTACCTACTTAACAAGGACAAGTTACTGTATTTGGTAGACAGAGATGATAATGTGAAACATTTAATGTATGTTTTACAAGGTTTTCCGACTCCAGACTGTAGAGGAATATTGAACGAAAGGATATATGACAAATGGTACAGCGTTCGCAAGATGGTTCTTCTAAAAGCTTTGCTTTTTTATGGCTACTTTAGCCTCCACGAGAGATTATCATATGAATTTAAACTATACGAATTGCAGAATTTCCCCCTCAGTGAAGATAATAGTGATACGTTCGAAACAGTTGTGAGGAGATGTATAGAGAGGGAACACTTTAATGAATTCAGTAACTTACTCTTGGCTCAGTACGTTTATGATAATTACCACCAAGGAAATCAATACATGAGTATATTCATAAATTTTTACGCCGTAAATGAAACTGTATATGCTATGGACACCAACGCAATAAATAATCTGATGAAGCCTTACATAAAACAGAGCTTTAGCATCATTAACTTCGACAATGCGGAAAATTTTTTACACTATATGAAGAGAAAAGAATTGTACAAGGACATGGACCAGGTCGATCGTGTGCCAATAAAAATTGATAAGTCAAATTATACCGACCTATACGAACAGAAAGTCCCTCTCATAAATTCGTTTGTCATAAAAATAGACAAATTTGTAATCAAAGATATGAGTATAAATTTGGCTGTTCTTCTAAATAACGCCTTTTGGGGGATGAAAAATAAGTGTAAGTGCGTAAACTATACTCATCTTCATGTTAGAACAGGAGGAAGCGATTTTCCACAGGGACATATAAGTGGAAACCAAATGATAGATTTGCACAAACCTCTGGGTACTGTATTGAGGGAAATTATTCCTGACATTTTTGATAAGCAGAACAACCCAAATGATCTGCTCTCGTGGCGCACATTCAAACCGAGCAATATCCACCTTCATGTTGTCCTTCGAAATAGTTTACACTTCATAGACAGGAGTACATTAATATCTTGCTCGAAAAAGCTAAGTAAAGTGGCACCTGTGTACTTCCCTAACTTTACAAATTCTCACAAAAGCGAAATAATGAAAATTAAAGTTGGACTGGGGTCATCAAAATATTTTTACTTATCATTTAATATATCTTTGCTTAGATCAAACGAAATAACCTTGAAGAATGTAATTTATTTTATATACAAAAATTATAAGTCGCAACTGGAAAAAAATGTTATGTACAGAAATGTAGGAGGAAAAAACAGATCGGCGAAATTCAACTGCCTTGCGATGAGTGAAGATAACACTTTTTTTTACAATAACGTCACAGGGAATCTGATCAAAGAAACTTCTCTCAATAGAGTCATCTCCGCTTTGTACAATGTTGACCTGATGGAGCCCTCTTACGTTATTAAGGCCGCCCTTAATTACTACAACAATAGGGGCAATAATTGCATCTTGTTGAGGCTGGTAACTGTTTGTAATTCCGTTCGTGAGAGGAGGAAGGCGAGTAATGGAAAGGAGTCGGAGTTCGTTTTGGAACACTCGGCTGGAGTGTATTCGGATGCGGCGGAAGGCATAGAAGCGGAAGGGACAAAAGTGGAACGAATAGAAGCGGAAGGAACAAAAGTGGAAAAAGCAGACACAGAACGAATAGAAGCGGAAGGGACAAAAGTGGAAAAAGCAGAAGTGGACAGCACAGACGCGGCAAGTACAAACGGGACAAACGCACACGCGGAACGAACAGATGAGGAGCACACACACCATGAAGCCGAAGGTCTTGAAAAGACAACTGATGAGCACACAGATGTGGAACCCAAAAATAGTGAACCTGCAACTGATCAGCACACACCAGACGAAATTACAATTGTTGAAATGCCACCTGATGAAACTACAAATGCTAACCCCCCGAATGATGAACCCCCAGTTGTGCTCTCTCAAAACGAATCGTCCTTTCTGCAAAGGCAGAAACATGTGATAAAGGCAATAGATAAGGATGGTGCTTATCACTACGGAACCGTGGAGTGCTTGCACTTCTTACACAAACAGGTGATCAATTTTTTCCACGAAAGTAATATAACAAATGCGTTCGATCAGATAACCATTCCCTCGGAGTACACATATATAAATAAAAAGAACAAGTTGAGAAATGGCAAATTCGAGTATAGTACAAAAACGATAAATTTTAACATCATTTCCAATGTGATGAATTTACAACGATATGATAAGGAATTGTACACCTTGGTCGATTTTATGAATTTAATTATACAATGGTTGGTGGAGCAAGGATCTTTTGATATTAAAAACAAATGCAACTTTTTATCTTGTAGTAGCAACAGCCCACAATTCGGGATGGTCTTAAGTATAACCACACAAGGGAGAGTCAAACATGTGCTATACAAAAATGATGAAAGTCTGATGAAATTTCTCTTTTATAATATATTGAAAGATCACCAGTCAAAGCGGTACTCCCCCGAGCTTATAGCATCCGCCATTAAGTTATACAATTTGAAGGTGACCTTTTTTTTAATGGATGAAATTGGTCATATATTTCCAGACCTCCAAAGTTTGTCTAACCCTCCGGAACAGGTACTTTGAAGACACACCTTCTATATATGAATATGCTTTCCTGTTTTTTTGTGAAACTGTTGAGTAGACATGTTATTCATTCCGTTCTGTTTATGTGTGTTAGTTCTATGACCCAATTTGGGTATAATAGAGTTTGGGCACCCCCCGTGTGAGTATACAAAAATGTGTACATATCCCTGTGCGTTCCCCCCCTTTGCAGACCACACCCCTTCCCCCGTTCAAAGACTGCTTAAAACAGCTAAACGGGAAAAATGTGACCCTGTATGGGGATGAGGCAAACCAAGGAATGTACGTCTCCTTCATATTAAAATTTTTAAATAAAAACATTATGTACAGAATTTCGAAGCATGAGTTTTACAAAATAATATACGACTTTAATGGTAATGAAGTGACCAAGGATGAAGGGGAGAATTTACAAAATCCCGTTTTGTCGTCTATCCCCGAAATTGAGGACAAGTTTCGATATGTGTTTTTAAGCGAGCTAAGCTACTATGTCAACATCCCCACTGAGTTAAAAAAAAGAAACAAAGCAGTTTCGGTTACCATGAATCCAAAATATTACGAATTATTAAGTCAGAAATGTTACCTGGATGAACAGAACTGCTTCTACGCTGTTGAGGAAATTATTAGCAACGTCAACGGAACGTTTATAGAACCCGTTTTTGTTGTTAAAAATGTAATCACGCTTATTGGCAAAAACAAAAAAAAAAAAAAAATACGATGCGCAGTTTGGGGGTGCATTTGTTCTCCAACGAGCGCATGTAAAGGCGTGAATACTAAGTTTCCCCTTTTTTCACTTTTCTTCCCCATTAGGTAATGAATTTTTTCCTGAGAAGAAAAATCCGTGCTGTTTTAAGCAGAGTAAAGAACACCATAATTAGTTAGCTATCATCAAAAATGATCGTATGGACGATTATACTCGTTTGTACAATTCAGAGTTTGCTTCCCTTGGATCCATATCCCGATGTCTTCTCCCCTTATATGCCTGCTTTTTTTAATGTGCATAAAATGTGCACTTTACGTGTATAATTAATTTTTTTATGTGTATATTTCGTATGTTGTACATTTCTGTATTCATTTAACACACATCACCCTTTTGTTCTCATTATCCATGCGATTCTTCGTGCGTTCCATTTGTAGATTTAAAAAAGGAACGTTCCCTGTTTCTTTTTTTTTTTTTTTAATAATTGGCCTCCACTCAACATACCTGTATGAGAATTTTACTGTCAGGATAATTCTGAGTCACGTCCACTTCTGCATTTGAGGCGAGTACGAGCAAATTGTAAAATATGATGGAGATATTTTTATCGGACATTCTTTTCACAGGAAATATGCGATCGAATTCTATAACATTGGAACAGTTTGCACTTATTTTGTGCAAATAATTTTTCAGTTTGATTAATTCTTCGTTATATTTATATTCGGAAGAGGTGAAAGATCTCCTACTCACTAGTTTGCTGGATGGGACACTGAGCGAGTCTTTGAAAGTGTCACTGAAGTTGTATACATCTTTGTACTCCTTCCCACTTTTGTTTTTATGTCCTCCGTTTGGTTGCGATTTTCTATGTTCATAAATTTTTTGGGGGAAGCTACTCATCCTGTCAAAGTTGTAGTCCACTTGGTCGAAGTTGTAATCCATTTGGTCATAGCTGTTACCGAAAGAGTCATGCGAGTAGCTTTTTCCCCCATGGTTATTCTGCAACTCATGATTTAAAAAATATTCATCATTAAAGTTTACCCTTAACTGCTCAAAGTTTAGGTGGTTTTTGTGTTTATTTTTCCTTTCGTTTATGGAGGACACTGTCGATTTGGTCTGAAGCAATTTAAGGTTGTTTGGCTGCATGTTAATTTTTTCATTTTGTATCAGATCATTACCGAATACGTTGTAAACATCCTTCCTTGTGTCAAAGTTGATGAAATTTTTTGCTTGTTCATACGAATGGAACGAGGAGGATATTGAATTATCACTAGGACCATTTTTTACATCATTGTATAGAAGAAAAAAAATGTAACTCCCCCCTGTCAAATGGGTACTAAATTGATTATCTGATTTTTGTGTTTTGTTCGTTTTGTTCTCCTCCCAGATGTTATGCCTCAGAATGGTGTCCTTATCTATTTGTGCAAAGATTCGTTTGTTCTTCTTTTCGTCTTGCCGTGGGCGCTCTCCCCCTTTCTTGGTGTTGTCGTCCTTACCAATGATGTTACCGTCCCCATTGTGGTTTGCACCCAAATTATTGGATACCTTACCATGCGCAATATTCCCACTGAATAGGAGACTACTATTCATGACATTGAAGGAGAAGTTCTTTTTGTCCAGAGTTTTACTCAAGAGTAAACTATCATTGGAGTAGTTATTTCTTTCTGCACTTGTGTCTCTTTTAATGTCTAACATATTATATTTTAAGAACGCAGTGTTCTTTAAGTTACTCTGCATGTTTGCATCTCTACTACTCTCCTTTGTGTTTATATTACGCACCCCATTGTTAATTGTGTAGAGGTTATTATATTTGGAGTAATTGAATGAAGAGGTGTTAGTTAGCATATCATTATACATCATATTTTCATCATTTGGGATGTCTTCATGTTCAAAGTGGTAGTCGTGCTCATACAGTTCATTGCTTTCCTTCAGCATTAGGTCGTTTATGTGTGCTATGTTTTTATTTTTGTTTATGTGGCTGGTCTTTTTCCTTCGAAAAGTACCGTCATCGGGGTCTCCACTGTAGTTGTTGCCGTAAATTGGTTCCCCGTCCTGCAAAGATAGCACATTTTTCTTTGCTCTATGCCTTCTGTTCGCCTTGCACTTTTTTGTAATACGCTTTTGGAGCCTATATTCATTCAGGCTACTCAATAAGCACTTCTTATACATGGCGTAGAAATCAGTTAGTAACACCTCCAGCTGCCTGTGCAGAAAGATAGTTATCCCTTTAATTAATATTGCCGTTTGTTTAAAATTATAATTTCCATTTTTTATTAACAACAAATTTTCGCTTAAGTTTGTATATCTTACTATTCTGTCACTGATGCAGTTTTTTTTAAGAATCACTCTGCCCCGATAGAAATTGCTGCTTATTCCTATGAAGTAGATGCATCCCACCTTGCTGGACTTGTCATATATCAGCAGGTTTTTCTCTCCGTTCGTTTTGGACTCATTCATTTTGGTTTAGTTTGGATATGAGGTTTAGGGGGAAAAGAAGCAGGCCGCACACAGCAGCAATGTCTTAATAAAGTGGTATATAGGGGAAAGCTTTTCCGGCAGGACAAAAAAAGAATTGTGGTGTGACAAAAAAACGTGTGCGTATTGTAAAGCGTCAATGTTGCTATGATTGCAAATGTGGAATGCAAGTGATACAGTGCGAGTAATACTCAATTGGAAAATCTCAAAATGACCACCTCTGTGTGTGAGGGGGGCTCTACAATGGCTCAGTTTGTTATTAATGCCCAGATGCTACTTTACACCCATGTGATAACATTAACTTTTTACAAACGACTGGGAAAAAGAACGAACGGGAGAACAAACAACAGGCACACGGTGCTTTGACCTAGTTGTAACACACGTCGTCAGAAAACAAGTTCTCACCTATAGAGTGGTGAAACGGCGCAAAAGATTATGTTCACTATGTGCGTTGATAACAGTGCGAACATAAAAACAAAAACAAAAATGCGGCTAGCGCAAATTCACTCATGTTGAAATTATGTCAGTTGCTTATTTTGCAATGTCTGCTCGTTTTTCTTTTTAGAAAAGTGTTTGGCCCTTTGCCTTTATATACGTGTGTGCGCATGGACACATCACCGATTTAAATAACACAGACACGCTATTTTGCTGATGTGAGGAAGGGGCACATAAAAAAAGAAAGAGCTATATTGAAGCACCGATAATGGTGAAGGACGGCTTTAACTTTTTCCCTTCCATGGTCATTAATTTAAAAAATTGTATACCGAAAAATTTAATGTAATTACATACCAAGAATATTTTTTCCCCATTTTGGTGTTGATTTTTTATAGACAATTTTTACACAGTTGTATTTTTTTTTTTTTTTTTTGTGCGCTGCTATAATATGTCCTTTCTAGTGACAAAATAAAGATATATATATTTTCCTATCTTATATGCAACAACAACAAAAAAAAAAAACCTTGTGAAGAATTGTGTAGCACTGAGGACAAGTTTCTTAACCATTGTGCAAAATTTTTGAATGTACAACAGGGTCACATGTGTGCTGGAAGATTTCCCCATTATCCAACTTTTAATTTAGTAGCCTCCAACTTGTTCAAAAGCATATTCACCTATTTCCGTTGCGCAATATGTATATAACATGTGTGCGAAGGTTTCATGTAAAGGTTAAATTTGTTCGCCTTTTTAAATTAACGATTTGTTTTTTTTTTTTTTCGTTTTTCTGCAACTGATGATTTCTAATAAGGCGGAAGGTTGCATATAAAAGAAAGGATTATATTTGTGAATAATACGAAACGGATAGGAATGAATTTGTGCCTAATAAAAAGTTAATTGTTAGGGTTTTCTTCCTGCTCTATTGAGGAACAAAAAAAAGAAGTATGCTCTTTCTGTTCCGCACGTGCAACAATTCCGTTTCTTCGAAGCAGTGTAAAAAATTGCATTTTTTGAATGTTCCCCTTTTGCAAGGGGGCCATAAAACGGTTCGCTTATTCTTAACCTAAATTATATAACATCTCATGCCCACTTAATTATTTCGAGTAAGATGAATGGTTAATTTTTTTTTTTCCTTCCGCAGCGCGTGTTTGCGAACAATTTGGATAGTGTTCCCACATTGTTTGCTCTTGTCAAGGTCGAAAATGACAACACGCTGCTCATTTTTTTCATTGTAAAAAGTTTTAAAAAAAATAAAAAGAGAAAACATGAGTGATGATAACGCAACTGAGGTGTTGTATGTAGGCGGAATTGATGAGACAATAGACGAAAAGAGTTTGTATGACATTTTTTCTTCCTTTGGTGATGTAAGAAATATCGAGGTACCTCTAAATTTTGTTACAAGTAAGCGAGCGGAAAACTGAAAGGGGGCGACATAGACATTTTATGTTTATCCCTTTTTAACCATTATCAAAGTTTAATGTCGCAAGTGTGTTTCACCCCCTTTTCCATTTTGACATTTTCAAAACATGCGAAGGAAAGGAGTTTTGAGCTGCTATCACAGTTTCCTTATTCTCCCCTTTAGAAAAAAACCGAGGATTCGCCTTCGTGGAGTATGTGGAAAAGGATGATGCGAAGCATGCCTTATACAACATGAATAATTTTGAATTAAATGGAAAAAGAATTTATGTCAACTATTCCAGAAATAGGAAAATGGAACAATATAAGCCGGGTACTATTGCATCTTGCCGTGGTGTACACGCCTGCGCAGCACATGTGGGTATGTAAATGCGAATGGCCATTTTTGTCTAATTCCCATATTTTCCTTTTTTTTTTCTTCTTTTTTTTTGGCAGTTTGGATAGACGACTTGTATAACCAGGAAAAGATGAAACAAATGGAGGAGGGAAATTCAAACGTAAGAATGTACATACACCGCTTTGTTTTTATTCTATGTCGCTTGTGCAATTTGTTATGTAGAGGTTTCTGTGTCAGACGTGCCTAGTACATTTCATTTTCTTTTTTTTATTTCTATTGTATAATAATGTGCAGTTTTAATATCACTGGGGGTTGTGTGTGCCCACGTACGTGCATATGATTCGCGCACACACATAGCCCATGCCACCTTATGTACATCCTCCCTGCAGCAAGTGGAAGACGTAGAAAAGGACCCCCCTGATGAATAAGAAACAGTGGTTATGCTGGATGGGCTCTATGCATTATGATGCCTTATAACCTATGGAATAAGATTTTTCTTTTTTTCATAGTGATACCATTCTACGTCATTTATATTGTATGTTCCTTTTTTTTTTTTATTTTTTTAATTTCGTGGTAAATTTGATGCCTCTGAGCGGGCACACAACATTGTCTATCGCGTGAGTAAAACATTTCAGAAAAAAAATGTTAACTCAACACAATAGGACTTTATTAAGAAGTCCTCCTTTTAAATAAAATATTTTAAGTAATCCATTCGTTTTTTATTTTATTATTTTTTTTTTTTTTTTTGCAACAATTATCGTGCGCACACACCTCCCGTGTGACCCTTTTTCAAGATGAACTCTTCATGTGGGAGAAATATTACTTACTAATAAATATAAGCACACCTATTACGTACGAATAGGCATGTTGAAGAATATATATGGAGGTACCAATTAACTTGGACAACAGAGATGATAAGGGTTATAATTAAGTTCATAAGATTACACTACATTATGAGTATATTACATTTACACACAAGTATGCTAACTTCAAAAAAAAAAAAAAAAAAAAAAATAGGGAGTGGGGGGGTTGTGCGGAATACTACATGTATTCAAAGTTACACACATGTGAAGCACTTTAACCCTACGTTTGGTATATTAGCATAAGCCCATATGACACACCCAGTGGGAACCGCGCTCAGTCGACCAGTCAATCAGTTGACCAATCAATCAGTTAACCAGTCAATGAGCATAAGATTCGGGTTTTCTATATATTCCTTTATTGCGCTTAAAAATTGCACAGCATCTCTTCCATCCAATAATCTATGGTCATAAGTTAGGGCCAAATACATGATAGGTCTAATTACAATTTGATTGTTCACCACTACGGCTCTATCTTTTATTGTGTGCATACCTAGTATAGCTGACTGCGGCATGTTTACAATAGGTGTGCTTAACATGCTACCAAAAACGCCTCCATTTGAAATGGTAAAAGTACCACCCATGAAATCTTCTAAAGACAATTTGTTGTTTCTCGCTTTGGTAGCTAATTCGGATAGAGCCTGTTCAAGTTCTGGTAATTTTTTATTTTGACAATCTCGAATAATTGGAACTGTTAATCCGTTCGGTGTGGCCACTGCTACGGATATGTCAACATAATTTCTGTACACAATTTCATCGTTGTCGATGTATGCATTTACTTGTGGCATTTTTTTTAGAGCTAACGTGGACGCATGCATAAAGAGAGACACGAACCCTAGTTTGCATCCATACTTTTTTTGAAAGATATCCTTTAACTCACTGCGTAGGGCTATCACTTTGCTCATATCGCATTCGTTAAATGTGGTTAGTAATGCGCACGTGTTTTGCGATTCTTTGAGCCTTTCAGCAATTCGTTTCCTTATTGGCAACATGCGCACTCTGGTTTCGGTTCTTTCACTAACGGATTCGTATAGCATTTTTGTGTTATTGTTTTCACTTAGTCCTCTTTTGCTTTCTTTGTGTGCGCTATTGTGGTCGTCTTCATCATTCTCTTTTTCTGTTCCAGTTTCTTCATTCGCATTCGCAGCTTTGCTTTGTGCCACATCATCTTTCTCTTCTGATATGTGAGCAGGTGCTTCCACTGAAGTGTCTATTTCGCATAGGGGCGCATCCACTAAAACGATTTCTCCCGCTTCAGCAAATATATTTGAAATCTCCCCACTGAATTGGGAATTTATGTCGACGCTTACCTTGTCCGTGTCGATAATTGTTATCGTTTCATCCACCTTAACATAATCACCCACTTTTTTCTTCCATTCACTTATAGTACCTTCCGTAATGGAATCTCCAAGCCTGGGTACCTTTATCGTCTCTGCGTGTTTAGTGTGTGAGAAAGTGCAATTAGTTACATAAGCAGGGGTAGAAAAACACACTGAGGGGCTACAAACATACATGCATGTGTGAGCACAGGACAGGGTGCAACAAGTGGACACAATGAATGCATGCCTTTTTTATTACGGTTGTGGAGTCAAATGCAGTTGGACATATGTTTTAGAAAAAGATACAGTACTACTATGTTGCATGTACATGTAGAATTACCTATGGAGAAACATCTTTTAAATTTGGCATGGCATTTCACACATTGCTTGCTCTCCAGGTTGAGGATCCTGCTAATCCCTTTTGCGTTATAAAACAAGGGTTTCTATTAGGAAAAGGAGAAAGTGGGTTGACGGGTCAGCAAACAGGGGGCATTTTTCTACGTCATCCATAAGGCACAGCGCTGTGCTTATGTTGAGACTTGCAAAAAGGGTTAAGGGACACGAGTTCACATATATAGCTATGTAAGTGTTATATATGTATAGGCACACATGTTAAGGTGAGCACATAAGTGAGCATGGAAAATTACGTTCAGTCGAAGCACAAGGTTCTGTGTCATCCTTTTATAAATTAATTTATGAATGTGTTATTTTCCTCTTGCGCAAAAAAAGTTCAAATCGAAACGGCAATTTCAGTTTTATAGCAAATGTTCAATCCAAACTGTGAACCATCTTCCTTCTCTGCATGTTCGCACGATGATTTATGTAAAGCAGGGGTGGGAAAGGCAAATGCTTCAAAATGGCTTTTATGAGTAATGTTAATGTGCTTTAAGTGCGTATTTGTTTCTATGCTGTACTGTATCAGGGAAAAAAAAAAAAAAAAAAAAAATGAGTGAGGAATTTTTAACCATCACAGTACAATTAACCTGTGTACAATTATTTCTGCACAAACTCACACAAGCGCAATACTGCACGTACGCACTGCATATTTTTGGAGCGTAGGAACGGAAAATATTGAACCGGCGAAATAAACATCATGCAGAAGCTCTCCCTTTGAATGAACTACGCATGTGCATAAAAAGCCTAAAGCTTTTTCCACATGGAGCACGAAAGTGAAAGTTACAGCGAATAAGTCAACTTACAAAAATGGTGAAAATAGCGGTTTGGGATTTGTTCAAAATGTTTCTAGTGTTACGTTACGAATGTTTACAAATGACTTGCAGAATAGGCATAAATTTATGCAACACACACAAAAAAAGAGAGAATAGCTAAGGCAGCATAAACAAAGCGCAACAATTAAAGAAAGGCAAAACTAATCACCCTGGGGTGTTACACACATTTCAACGGATGTATTCGCTACATGTGCTAACCCTGAAATTTGAAACCAAATGGAATCGAAAAAAAAAAAAAAAAAGTAACGATCAATTATTTGCTTATAGGAAAAGAAGCTATGTATTTTTCCCCAGTGTTTTTTCAACTCGTAAAGGCAAACAAATTAAAGGAGCGAATGCTTAATAATTGTTTAACTATGTACATACACATAAAAAAAAAAAACAATAATAAACAAAAATGCAATAATGCAAACACGAAAAAAAAAAAAAATGTGCACAGTTTTTATACACAAATGAGGCATTTCATCATAGATCTATGTGCTACATGCCATGTCTGATATTTCCTTGTTTTTGCTTTTTCTATTTTTTAAAAAAATTCATGAACGAATTTCTCTTGCCAAGTAAGCTAGTCGCCTCGGGACACGTATGCCCAAAAACGATGGTGGGGAAGGAAATGTCCTGTTCTACTTCTTGGAAGCCAGGTATGAAGGAAGCCACTTTTAGTGTGACCAGCCATTTGTTAAAATTAAGTGCATTAGATAGGGTAATAGTTTTCAGGTCTACGTGAGTGCTATCTAATTTACTTTTAATTTTAAAGGTTATCTTGAATTTGTTTTTATCGTATAAAACTGTGCAGTTTTTTTTGTCCAGTATAAGGTCCGGTTTTAATTTATATTTATCCTTATGTATAGTAATAACATTCTTTTTGCACAAAACAAAGGGCTTTCTTATTTTTTTTGTTTTTTTCTTATTTAATGTGTGAAAATTGAACTTTTCTATTTGCTCTTTAATGCTTGCGAAATCTCGCGCCAACGATATGGTTATATCGTATCGCTGTTCATATACGGTATCCCTTTGCATATAAATTCGTATTTTCCTTAAGTTGGGAATTATGACCAATTCTATTTTTTCCTTGTCAAAGGAAAATAAGGGCTTCTTGATTTCATTATTTAGATAAATGCATATAGAATTATTATTGACTCTGACTAAACTTTTTATTTCCAAGTTGTCAAATAAATTGATGGAGAATATGTGTTTTTTCAAATTCATGTACGAACTGCTGACACTTTCTCCTTTTATAAAGCCACCGAAACATAGGGCATTTTTCCACCTATGAAATTCTGTTTTATTTAAGCAGTCGAGAACAATTTTATCATTAGAATCTTTTGACGTTTCTTTTATGCTAATTTCTCCGTTCTGTTCATTTGCTCGTACATCACAAGAATCGGATGTAAATTTGAGTATGGGAACAGAATTCTCGTTTCCATAATCTTTATAAATTGATAATATTCCCTTCTCGATAACAACTACTTGGTTGTTTTTAATAAATTTATCCTTTTTCTCTACTTTTTCCTCCCCCGATTCAGCCTTTCCATGTGACTCTGTATTAAATGATTTGTTTCCCCTGTCTTCATCTTTTTTTGTTTCTTGTTTTTTCATTTTATCATAATCATTTTTCTGAATAACGTTAAAATTGTTCTTACTCAATTTGGATATAATATGATCGTACTTCTCCTTTTTGAGGTAGTGAAAAATGTAGGTCTCCTCATCTTTATTTTGTTCACTCTTTATAAATGTTAATTCTTGCTCGTTATCATCTCTCAATGTCTTCACATTTTCATTTTGGAATTTAAAAGAATTTTCATCGTTGAAGCTCATTTGGCCCTTTTTAAAAGGGTTGCCATTTTTGGATATGTAAAGTACATTATCTTTTATACAGAACGTATCTTCCATTTTGTCCTGCATGTTCGAATTTGCCATGATGTCATCCTTTCTATCCTCCTTGTCTTTCTCCTCGTATCGTTTTTTCTCTCCTTCCTGCTCCTGTTCCCACGCACCTTCCTTCACTTTGTGGCTCTCTGTTTCGACTGCCTTATCCATTAAGCCCATTCTGGGGATTCCCATTTTCCTGTCATCTTCGCTTTCCCTTTTCGAGTCTACTTCTCTATTACGTGGCATATCCACTTCTCTAAAGAAGTCTCTTCCTCCATCCTTGTCCCCATCTCTGTTGACACCCCGTTGGCCCGTTTTCTCCCTAGCATCATATTTCCTCTTCCCCGCGGCTAACTCTTCAGAGTCGTAAGAAGCCATGTCAGATCCGTCTACATCTTTATCCTTGTATGCATCTTTGTTGGCCGGTTCGTAAATCTGATGCGTATTTTTCCAGCTCATTTGATTTAGGATGTCCTGCAGGATACCCGTGCACCCTTTACTCTTTGGCAAAATAATATGCTGATCTTTGAAATCATTAAAATAGAGGGTGACCTTATTATTTTTATAATCCATATGATAATGTTGGCAATTAATAAAAGCCTTTTTATTGTCAACATGTGTAAGCATTAGATGATTATTTCTGGGGCTTCCTTTCATTCGTACATTACTACATAAGTAAGGTACGTTATTACCATTTTGGTCAATCCCGCTAGGAGTAATTATATTTACAGTAATTTCTGGGGAGGTCGAATTTAGTTTGTTATAATATGAAGCCCGTTCTTGTGCATCACTTACACTGTGTGTTTTGTTCTCATAATAATTTTTGTTTAGTCTTGCCGCGTAATCCCTTTTGCTTTCTTCCTCCGCGTCAAATTTGTCCATGTTATGTTTGATAAACCCTGCATACTGCAAAGCGTAGTACATTCTGAGTGACTTATCATCATTTTTTATTAAAAAATAATGCTTTTGTAAAGTGGCGTCGAATGAAATATACTCCAACATATACACCTGCTTACTATAAAACGTCTTGACATTTTTAACATTTTTATTTTTTAAAACGTATACGGGTACTTCGTCCCCTTTTTTGTTATATATAAATATTTCTTTATTTGTAATTCCTATGAATTTTTCTTTATAATTCTCAAAGTTTAATAGTGTCTTGTTATTTCCTATGTAACTTTCTTTTTTCTTTATATGGTTGATGTTGTCTTCATCTGTGTCACTTGCCGACTCATCGCTGGTGCCTCCTTTGTGATGTCCCCGTTTGGCAGAGGCGTCATGCGAATCGCTCTGTGAATCGCTGCTCGAATCGTCTTCGCTGTTGTTATGGCTACTTTTACCATCACTGTTTGCACTACCCTCGCTTTCGCTGTCCCCCTCTTCACCATCACTGTGTGTGTCTTCCTCGCTTGTGGTCTCTTCACTTGTACCTTGACTCGTGTCATCACTGATGGTGGTCGTCTTGTCCCCAGGGCTGTGCTGTGCATAGCTGTCATTGCCTTCGCTTGAGTTGTCTTCCGACCCTGATAATATGTCCATTTGTCCAACTCCCTGCTTTTCCTTTTTTTTCTTGTCCTTTTTACTTTTCTTCATTGAAAACGGAGCGTGAAGAATTATGCCATTTTTTTTCTTCTTCTTCGTCTTCTCCTTCTTTTGTTTTTTCTTCCTTTTTTTATCCTTCTTGTTCTTTCCTAAGTGCGCTTTTTTTTTTAGTGCATTATAGGAACTGGCGTCCGATAAATGACTGGAGTCTTCCGCCGACTCGCTGGTTAAGCTGAATAAATTATTTAGTGATTTATTATTATTGCACAATGATTTCTGTGCCTTGTTATTTTCAAGAAAGTGCAAAACGCTGCTGGAAAAGAAAAAATCAACTTTATTATCGCCATATTTCACATGCTGAATTTTGTTTAATGTTTCTAATATTTTGTTAAATAGATTTTTCTGTTCCTGCGACTGCATTAAATTTAATTTTAGTAAATTTTCATCATAAGTCATCCTTTTCTCCAGTTTTCCTTCAGGACTTATGTGCTTCAGTATGGTTGTCTTATTCTCCATTTGTGTTGACAGACCCGGGGGGGAATCCTCAATAGTCTTCACTTGCATATATTCATTTAGGGTTTTACTATTTCTACCTCTTATATAATCATTTTGTAAGGCTAATACGACAGGAGGTGTAAGAGCCTTTTCCTTGTTCATACAGCTAATTATTTTGTAAAGCCTCTGGATTTCATTTTTCTGTTTTTCGTTTTGTTTTTTATACAAATGTAGTTCAGTCTCAATTTGTATTAAGCACCTCTTGGTGATGTGCAATTCTTCATTATTATTTTTATAGAGATTTAAGAAATTTTCACTTTCTTTTTCATTATTTAAAAATTCTTCTTCCTTTAGTTTTGCCTCCTTCCTATTTTTACACATATCACTTCTCATCATGTTAACTGTATTTATTAGGTTTTCTTTTTCCTGTAACAACAATTCGTATTCATATTTTCTTTTTTTCAAAAGGTTGTTTAATTCCTCCAAAAGGGTGTCTCTTTTGAGCAGTTGCTTTTCCAGTACGTTGATTTTTTGAAGAAACTCATTTTCTTTACTTAGTTGCATGCTCAACATCATGTCGTTTTCTTTTTTTCTGTTTAGTTCCATCCTCAGGGTTTTATTTTCTTCGTCGTTTTTCAAGGCATTTTTTTGCAGCTCTTCGCTATTGCTTCGCAGCTCGACGAGTTTTTTCTCCAGCTCGTTGATCTTATCTCTCTGCCGGTCGATTATCACTTCTGCGTACTCGAGCACGTTCCTTTCCTCCATCGTGGCCGTTGCTGCTGCTGATGCTATTTACGTCTTTTAAATGCCCCACGGACTTTCTTGCGTAATGGAAGATACCCTTCCTTTTCTCTTTTAATTCATCGGACGGCTCGCTATCCCCCACGGAAAAGCGCTAACAAATGCATCGTTCTTGGTGGATGTCCTTATAAATGTGTCTTTTTAAAAAAAAAGTAATTGCTTCGAAATGGCCTTATATCCAGGGCTTAAAAGACAGTAATAAAAAAATAAAAAAATAAAAAAGAACGAAATGGCTTCACTTTTATGCGATACACACGTCTCAGGGGAATTGGTTGGAAATATACAGATAAGATGGCGACAGAAAGAGATGTCTGACAATAGTCTTATAACCACGAAGTTGTTCTTTTACCAACACTTTACAAACGGTTAATAAAAATTACAAAAAAAAAAAAAAAAATTACATTCGTAATATAAACAAAAATTGTAAATTTAGCAGGTACTAAACAAAATCGTATTTTGGTCTTTACAACTTTTTAAAAAAAATAGTCCATTGCAACAATGTTCAAAAAGTTTGTAAAAGAGGGAAAAAAAAGGAATTAAGTGGAAAATAAAAATGCGCGCGAAGATGAGCAGAATGAACTACACATATAAATACACAGACGCGTGTTATGAAAACGTATTGTTGCGCATTTGTGCAATTTCCCATACTTGCTGGGAATACTTTTTTGTGTGTTCCTTGTTGCTAAGCATTGGGAAAATAAGTAAAATAAGAAAAATACAAGTACGAAAACAATATATATACATTTATGTACGCATGCATATGTATACACACAAATACAGTGAAAAGAGAAAAAAAAAAAAAAAACAAGAAGAAGCGCCCAGTCAGTGTTTCATTTGCATAACGAGTAGTTTACCCCTTATGTGCAACCTGGACGGCATTTAAATAAACCAACAATTAGCAGTTGCATGAAGACAGGGTCATGCGACGGTTTAAAAGTATTCCCTTCGGAGATACGGGGATTCTGTCAGCCTGTCCAAAAGTTATTATGTTGGAAGCAGACGAATGATATTCGAAAAAAAAAATGTCGAAAAAGGTATACACAAACTACGCATACATATGCGTATGCACACTGTTTTTGTTTTTACACCAACACTATTTATTCACGTTTTTTTAATTTTAGTTTTCCCTTATATGAAATGTTGACAACATATGATGGAACAATTTTAAGTAAAAAAAAAAAAAAAAAAAAAAATACATTAAAACATTTAAATTAATAATACTGTATTTATATGGTGGCTAAAAATTATTACGTGAAAAATGTTTCATAATAAAAGAAAAAGGTTTATCACAATAACAAATGTAAAAAAAAAAAAAAATAAAATAAATTACTGACTACAATGGTTTTTGGGTGAATTTAAAAAAAAAAGAAAAGGGGGGAATTCGCACACGCTTTAACAACACTTGGATTTTTTCTTTGAATCATTCTCGTCATTATCGTCGTCCACCTGGAAGTTGTAAAACAAAGAATGAGAAAATGAGAAAATGAAAAAAATGCATTTGAAACGTCTCTCATGTAGAAGACTCAAAAGTTACACCCAAATGTGTATCGTCCTATTCGTTTCTCTCGTATTTTCTTTTATTTTCTCCTTTTTAACATTTATTTTTTTCCCGCGAGGTTGGATGGACATGCTGTCTTCATTTTTTGTCCCTTGTTTTTTCTGTCGCACGTTATAAATTTCTATAGGGTAAGAAATGGGGAAACACGCACATGAATATATAAGCGTCTGCATTTTAATTTAAGATATCCATAGGGAACCTACGACACGACAATCGTTGTTCTGTTACATATGATTCAATTTTCTCTTCACACGTATACGTGTTGCCGGCGTGTGAGTGTAAATATAAACGTATATCCATATGTATTTTGCACCCTGTGAAGTGCCGTTCTACTATTAATAAGCACATTATATAAACGCTGCCACCCATGTGTGTGCGTGGGTGTACACACTTACCATTCAGTAACTGGTGAAATGCTAGTTCCACGTTGGTGGCTTCCAGAGCAGAGGTCTCTATGAAGGCCAATTTTTCTTTCTTTGCAAACTGAGTTGCTTCATTATCGTTTATTACACGTAAATGTTTTAAGTCACTTTTGTTACCAACCAGCAGGATAACAATGTTAGAATCAGCATTATCTCGTAACTCCTTCAGCCACTTTTCAATATTTTCGAATGAGTTTTTTTTTGTTATGTCGTACACAAGCAAGGCCCCAACTGCCCCTCGATAATACGCTGAGGTGATGGCTCTATATCTCTCCTGCCCAGCTGTGTCCCATATCTGTGCTTTTATTATTTTATTATTTTTTAACTGAATGCTTTTTGTCGCGAATTCTACACCTATGGTGCTTTTACTTTCTAGGTTAAATTCATCTCTCGTGAATCTGCAAGGAGGAATGGAAGGGGTAAAAGAAATGAGCAAGTCGAGTCATTATTGTGACAATTGTTCATGGTAGTGTTGCGTCTCAACACCGGTACTTGCATTTTACACAGCTGCTCCCTGTCCGCTGTCGTAAACGTTGAAATTATCAAAGAGTTGTTCTTCGAAGGCGTATGGAGGCTTTTTAAAAAACGCAGAGGTGTGTAATTGATCACACGCATATGTCATGTATCCATCCGCCTGCACCTCTCGTGTAACGCCTTTTCGTGCACAAGCATACCTGGAGAGTAAGTTTGATTTCCCCACGCCGGAATCTCCTATAAGAACAACTAGGTAAAAAGGAAAAAAAAAAAAAACAATGTAGCTAACAATTCGGCATATACTCAACATAGAGTGCTTTGCTCAAATGTCTGGGGGCATTCCGCGGAATATATATACATCAACTTCTACACACACAAATGTGTAAAGAGACAATGCGCACGTATAGTTCCATGTATGCACGTTTTACTTTTAAACAGATAGTCGTAGTAATCTTCCTTCATTGACATTTTTACAAAATAGTTTCGTCTTAAATCGAATAGGCTTGAGCGTCTATACAAAAGTGCGGGATCACTTGTTGTATGTATTTGTGTGTTTATGACATGTGCGCATATATTTTTCGCATGTCCATATGTGTCATTATGCTGGAAATCAAATCCAAAAAAGATAAAATAAATGAAACATTCCTTCAGAGGAGTCTTTTTTTTTTTTTTTTTGGGGGGGTGGGTGAGTAGGCAGTACTTTGTGCTGTTTGCAGTGTTCTATGATTTGTGATAAGGAGGGACTCTATGTTCAGTTCACAGTGTAGATATTCATAATATAAGTTTATAAATGGTACAAAGTGTAAAACAACGAATTCGGCGTGGGTTATAAAATTGGAGATTTACAAATCAATTTGATGGATTTGTTTGTTCTCATATTTTTGACATTGTAAAAAAAGGGGGAAAAAAAAAATACATAGCTTTACTTTTTACGTGTTAATTGTGACTTTTCTTCTATTTATATGATTCTCCCGAACAAACCATGTAAATAATGCAAATTTTCACATAAACGGGATATGCATGATGGTGAAGTGCTATGTAAAAAATATAGTTCACCGCGGTGTAAAGATGGATCGACGGATGGATGTACACGCAATCGCATATAGAAGTTTATGTCAATGTATATATATGCGCGTTCAACCGAGTACATATGTTGAAAACAATTTGTTCGAATTTTACAAGCACCAAAGCACAAATGTACATACGCACATAAATGCGCTTTAGGTATATATGGTATGGCGTATGTACATTTGAATGATTAAACAGTTAACCTTTCCATATAATGTTCGTGCATTAATTTGTGGCAAATGTAACCATATGTGCGAAAGTTCATGTACCGCAACTTCATACATTTATATGTATAAACGGCTGTATTTGGTATGATAGATTTGTAGGAGTACGTTAAGTTTTTACGTAAGCGCATTTGCACTTTATTTTACATGATATATATATGCAATTCAATTCAATGAATTTCCGTTTTAGGAAACAAAGTGATGTTTCAAATGAAGAGCAGAGCTGCAAATATTTTTCAGTTTTCACGGAGAAATTAGAAATTAAATTTGAATGTGTTTTTTTTTTTTCAAAATTGTCTCGCTGTTTTAATTACCAAAACTGCACACAGTTACAATTCAGCAGTTTTCACATTTTTACGCAAATAAAAAATGTACGCAAAAAAAAAAAAAAAAAAATGGTTACACAAAACATTTCAAATTGAGATAATTTAAACAAAAAAATGCCATTTATGTGTAAGTGTAGGTGTACCAGTGTGTTGAACGCATATACACAGGGGTCCATTTACATATATGTGAACACGTGGGTACAAGATGTGTGTGAATACAAAGGAGGGAAATTCTTTCACAAGCACTTGTTTCATTTTTTTTTCAAATGAATTCAAAGGACAGTTGCGAAAATTTTAAAAACAAAAAATTGACAAATAAGAGGGGGTGGTGGCGGAAATGTAAATGCATCCGTTGATGTTTTCTTTATCTATGTTCCCGCCATCGAAGGTGTGCGTCTACGTACATGTACAAATGTATACATGTGGAAGCGTATATACATACGTGCTTCCACAGGTACGTCCATGTGATGCGGAGGAATGTTCACTTTTTCATAATTTCCTTCATCATTTTCTGCTGATCCCGAATTTTCTCTATGTTGTTTTCCATTTTTTCGTTCACATGCCCTAGCTGCAAATGTTAAAAAAAAAAAAAAAAAAAAAACGTGTAGGTTTCTTCACATGTATATTCTTTAGCAAAATTGAGAACAAATAAATTTTTTGGTATGATGAAACTCCCCTTTTGTCTTAAGTGGCAAAAGAAATACAAATACAGGGGTGCATCGATATGTAAGAACATTTCTGTCTACCATTCTGTTCTGCTCGTTTATTGTGTTCCCCATGACCACGGCCCTCGTGTGCAATTCGTCCAGCTAATTATAAAAGTGATGGAAAAAAAAAAAAAAAAGAGGAAAAAATTGCAAAATGGGTGAAGAGACAAATAAAAAATAGAAAAAGATAAGTAGAACATCACGTCTGTATGTTCAACGCGGGCATAGTTCATACCATGGAAGACAGGGTAGTCAAGTCGCTTTCGTATTTTTCGTCGAATGTGCCTATCCCTTCAAAAAAAAAAAAAAAAAAAAAAAAAAAGAGGGAACACCATGTTGTGTAGAGATCTTCCTTTCAGGTATGAAAATAAGCATATAAACGAATGCATTGAATGTGTACATAGTGGGTGAGTGGTCAAATATACGAGCGCGTGGACTATTTTTATGTGTACCTGTGGATGTCCTTTGTATATTCAGAGCATCTCTACACAACTTGGCGTCATTCTTTGCGTATTTATGATTATAATTATGACTTGTTTTCTTCTTCGTGCTATTATTCAGCTGATTATTTACGGTTTTATTTTCGCTACTGTTAAACGGTTCGAACCCTAGGAATGAGTTTATGTTTTTCCACCAGTATTTTATTCCTTCCAAGTGGTACTGACTTTGATTCAGGTTTTCCTCAATATTTTCAGTCTCCTTATTGATATGTTTTATTTGTTCTGCAAGGGGGGATACATAAAAATGGAAGCATGCAAATAGGTAGTGTGGAAATTTTCCTTCTGTTCGTTGTGCACAGTGCACATACATAAGGTGCAGTGTTATCATTTTCGTTCTCCCATCTCTTCGTGCGTTATCTTTTTAATTATTTAAAATTTTCCCCTTCTATCATATTTCTCATTTGTCCACAAATTCTGCTTAATGAAATGAACCCGATAGCTCATATTGACACTACAAATCAGTTGGGCCACCGGCGAAAGCAACTCGCCGCTCCTTTACCTGTCTGATGTTCTAACTCCTGTTCCGCTTTTTTCGAAATTTCGGTAACTTCACTAGCTGACCTCAATATTTCATTCAAGCTTTCTTCGCATTTTTTTTCAATCTCACTTATTTTCTGTGACGAGTGTGTGGGGAGTGAACGGGCAGAAGTTCAGTTAACATGGGTTAATATATATATGTATAGGGCAGCGCGAACACGTTAGTATAACCACACATTGGCAACCTTGCCTTGTGCAAAGCAGCTCATCATGTATATCCTAAACGTATCACTACGCTATTTTATATATGGAAGCGAAACAAAATATCTCAAAATTAGTTCGCATGGGACACATAAAATTAACAAAGACGCGCATATGCTGCCTTAGCAAAGGAGTGAGCACTTGGCATGTGTAAATGCTCATGGAACATGCTCAGTTATTGTTGTGTCCACATGGACAGAATGCATTTGCTTATGCTTCACGCTTTTTTAAAATTAACATTTCTTTGGGAGTAGGCAGATCTTCTTTGACTCATTTTTATGATTGTTAAGACTTGGGTTCCTTCATTTAGTTGCTGTTCATTCAGATTTGCTACCGTGAAGGGGCCTTTACACTTTTGTGCCAGGATATACAAGTTAAGGATGGGAAAGGAAAAAAAAATGGGTCACAAAAAAAAAAAAAAAAAAAAAGGAAAAAAATGGGGAAAGCGCAACGAATGCATCGGACGAAGGGCATACAAAAATGGCTAGCACAAAAAAGTATGCTTTTTTTATGTATGTAATTCCAACATAAAATGCTTTCTTTTTTGCAGAAACGAGCTCGGCAGAAGGCTAAAATGTTGCAAACCCAACGGGTTTTAATGCTTACACTCTAATTTTGACATTGCTCGATTGAGAAGGTGTATGTAAGTACGCGCATACGCATATGTTCACATTACGCATGTAACACCCTCGCGTGGGCAAAATTTCAGGCATTTCATATACCCGTTAAAAAATTTATTTTGTGCAACTTTAAGGGAACAAAAAAAAAAAAAAAAATAGGAAATGACATTACGCTGTGGGCTAAGGAACTATACATCTGTTCGTTCCCCCCCCCCAACAAAGAACGCAACTTTGCAGTAGCACATAAAAAGTGTTACATATATTTTTCTTGTTCGAGATAGTGACATGATTTAGTAATCCCCGTTTTTCTACTTACAATAATTTTGTAGCATATGTATTTTTTTAACCATTCGCCGGATCACCGTTTGCAGGCGCACCACTAGCCCCGATAAATGTGTGCTGTCAGTGACAGGGACAACTACAGTGACCTTTTTAACTGAAGGAGGAATCAAGCTGCATGGAATTTGTTTAATTTTTCGGCCCTTTTTTTGAAATAACCCCATCCTGTTTAGACGTAGCACTGTCCGCAATCTGGGGAAGACTCGCACCTCGCGCAGCAGCCGAATTGCTCCACAGCATAATTGTGTAGTAGCCACCTTCTGTAGCAGCCGAGTTCCAAAGAGATGCTCAAAGGGAGAGAAGACCGCATAAAGTGCCTTTGTACGTGCACTAATGTGTGTACCCATACATGTAAGCCGATTAGCCAGATCAGCTCATTTGCACGGGGAGACAGTAACACAGACATGCACGTAACCCAACACGTAAATATACACGCGGCGCTGTAACATGAACCGGAGTAACCATTACGTCAAAAGATCATATGCACTAAATTTTTTACGGAAAAATATTTTACACACGAATAAGATTAATCATAGTTCTTTTAGTTACCATGGGAACGGCAAGGGAGAGCATATACTCCAGAAATGTTATGCTAAGTTTTTGGAGGAAAGAAGAAGGCTGAAATTTGTACTATGTAAAAGTACGAACGTTTACAACTTTCTGTTGCCCCAAAAAAGTGGTTCTCCATTGAGGTGGTACTCTGAGAAGAAGAAAAGAGACAACAATAAATACAAAACGAGAAAAAGAAAAAGAAATTTTTTCAATTTTGTAAAAATTAGTAACCCCTTGAATTTTATAAAAAAAATAATATTGTCCTTTTTACTTATTTTTGGAATAAATAATTATGTTATCGACATGACGCTGACCAGTGGATCTAGTATGTGTCCATTAATAAATAAAGACGGAGTCATCTTATTCTATGTGTGTGATGACACAGTAAGGTTTATTCACAAAGCCCGCACCATCCTTCTGTACAGTTGTATAAACCTACTCCTTCGTTGTTACGCTTTAATTGGGTCAAACTTTGAGCAAGCCTATATTGTCCTTTTAAATAATAAAATTCTTAGCGTAGTAGAAAAGTTAAAAAAAACAATGACAGCAAATAAACATGTGTATAGAAGAGGCGATGTCATATTGTTAACTTCTCCTGTGAATGAGAAAAAAAGAGTTTGTAAAAGGATTATTGCTATAGGGAATGATAAATTATACGTTGATAATATAAATGCCTTTGTCCACGTTCCCACGGATAACATATGGGTAGAAGGGGATAACAAAATGGATTCTTTTGACAGCCGAAATTACGGATTTGTTCATATGGATTTAATAATTGGCAGAGTCATTTTCTTGCTCGATCCCTTTATCGACTTTCGTTTTATTAGTAACAAAACGCGTTGACAAAGAGGACGCCATGATGTGTTGACTGTTTATGTTGCAGGTACAAAACAGAGCAAAGCCGAATTTGCTCTTTGCTGGGCAAAGGGAAACTACCCCCCTTTGGAGGAAACCTTGCATAAATGATTAATTTTTATGTGAAAAGTTTTACCGCAATAGAGATGGTACCTTTTAAGGGGGTGCTGTATTGGAAGAAGACCCAAAAAAGGGGCCAAAAAAAGCCCTCCTCCAACTTATCAGCATTTGGAACAAACGAAAATTGGGGAATAACGTACCAGTGTGTGTTGTCCAAGTGGTAGGGAGCATTGATCTGTTTTAAAGAGGGCACCTTTTTTTTTTTTTTTTGTGTAAATATATTGAAGGTGCAGAGGTGGACACCTTTTTAACTTTTTTATTGTATCATTTTATTATTTTTTAATTTTTATTTTAAATTTTCACCCCCATTTTTGTAAACACAAAATTTGACCCATTCGTCTTATACGTAAAACGAAATAAAAAATAAGACGCAACCGCTTGGACAACGGTGGAGCGTGACAGAATTGACACGTAACAACGTAGACGCGGTAGCACCCTTCGTTATATTGGCCTCCAACACATGGACTGGTGCCTACGCACAGACTTGTGCATGTGGCTTAAATGCATGAAAAAGTAATTTTTTTTTTGTCTGCAAAAATTTCCCAATGTCAATTTTGTTTGTTTCTTGTCTTTGTTCTTTGCGTATAACCAGTTCGCGCGGGTTGTTGTTCGATTTAATTTGCATTGTTTCTTCTTAATGAACAATACGGAACTATCTCTGCTGGTGTTGTGTTGCCGTTAATTGTAACTCACTGATCTGTTTCGCGAATAAACCTCTCGTCCTCTGTGCACAAACAGACATGTGTATATGCGGTGTAAATATACTATTTTATGAAAGAAGGGTATGCCCTTGCTGAGCTGCCCTTTTTTGAGGTGAACATTTCAACATCTCCTTACCACAAAGGTTAAGAAAATTCTACGAAGTTGCCTCAGGGGAAACAACAGTTGATAAGGTTACGTAGAGGGTGAGAGGTGCAACCGTGGGAATTTAAGAGAAGACTAAAAGTGCAGACCCTCATTGCGGGTGAAAATGAAAAGGGATGGAAAGCAAAAATGGGAAGGAAAAAAGGGGAGAAGAAAAGGGGAAAGACAAAAAAGTTCAGGAGCACAAAGGGAGGAAGCCAAAAGTGGGAGGGAAAAACCGAAACAGATCGAGCAGTTCGAGGACCACCCATGCGACCTGCATTCCGAGGAAGACCCTGTGACAAACAATTTTAGACGAACCAGCTGGATATACAAAGATATAGAGAATAGGCTGAAGGAGGCAAATGAAAAATGTAGCAATTTAAACGAGATAGGTGCATTGGGCGCAGGTATCGAATTGGAGGCACTTCCTGGGAAGAGTGAGAATTCGGTGAAATTGCCCAGCCAAGTCAGCTCGCGCAAACCGTTCAAATTGTCCAGTTCGTCCAGGTCATGCAATTCGTCCACCTCCCCCAGCCCGTCCAATTCGAAGTCATCAAAGCTTCTCACATCAAGTTACTGCTCCGGAGCGACCGTCTCCCAAAACAGCAGCAACACGTCGGACGAAATGGATAATTTGTCTCTTAGCGATGAATTGTCCCTTAACGAAGAATTTACGGAGGAAGATGGAAATGGAAGTAGCTCCGCTGTTACATCGAGCGGGGATGGAATAGTTAACAGTGATAGGGGACCCTCAAGCAGTAGCAACAGTGTAGGTGGAAGTAACGATGAGGGAGATGCTGAAATGAGTCTCAGTGGAGGTACGTCCAGCAATGCCCGTGAGGAAGACAACCATCCAAATGTGTACTACAACTGCATAACCATATTTTCACTGAACAGCTATCTATATAATGACATGTACAGATATAACCCCCACCTGTACGGCATTTACGAGACCTGCAGAAATAACGAAAAAAGGTGCAAAAAAATTGGCCTACTTTCCTCTCAATTCGATTTAATATTTCTCAGATCTGTGTACGGAAAATATCAAAAAAATTTATATGATGTTTTAAAATATACTCATACTGTATTGCTGGACAATGTTCCCTCATCATATTCCATTTTAAATGAAATTTTATATACCCTCCAAAATTATGTGAATGGAAATGGGGGATTATTCATCTGCTGGAGGAAGAAGCTGTTCCACTTGTCCTACTATGATTACATGTTTTTATCATCCGACATTTTATTTAAAAGGAAAGTTATAAAAATTGTGAAATTAATTTTTAAGGGAAAATATAGTTTGTACATTTTACACTGCGAATTTGATTTGTACAGTGCTCAAAATAAGCTGAGCAATCTGGACGATCTACTACTTCTGATGAAGAAAACGTTGTGGAAAATTTATCTCTTCCAGATTTTTTACATAAATAGGAGACTATTCAAACGTAGGGAAGGATCTGCGTGCAATGTGGAGGAATTGCATACACATGAGTATGTTGACAAAATTGAAGCAATAGCAAAAATGAGCAAGGAGGAGAAGGAACTGCACAGGAGAGGAGACGTCGTAGATCCCTTTTCCATCATAGAGGATGACAAAAAAGGGGATAGTACACACATACATAATGGGGATGCATCGAATACGTTGAAGGTAGATCAAACGGATAAACCCGTAACAACCATGACGTTTAGAAATAGCTCCATGTTAGTTATCGGAAGCTTCAATATTGACGTCAACGAAGACGGGGCACTATACGACAAACTTGTAAATCTAAACGGTCAAGGAAAAATGAAAGATTTATTTTTTTATAAAAATATAAATTATAAATTACAAAAAACGTACGACATTGTGGATCGGAAAAACACCCTGGTTAGTGGATTGAATTACTCATTTGGATTGACCGATAACATTTTCCTCGTAGAGTCCTTTTTCATCAACACGGAAGACATCACAGAACTCAGCTACTTATTTAGCCCCTCAGATGTAATCTCGGAAAAAATGAGCAAGTTAAATAAATCTCTAAGTAGGTACAATTTGGAAAAATTTTCTCAACTGATTAACAAAAATGGAGTGCTCATAAAATTTCAGGACGTCTTTAACTACGGAGTTGATATATTAACGCAGAAGAAGGGAAAAGAATTTAGTGACCACTGGGGTTTATCTGCACGCATCCATTTAAAAAATCTCAGTAAAAGTGTCAACCTTCATATAGAAAAACAACTCCGTAACTTCCTGCTCAACGTTGACAAGTACTTCGTTTTGAGGAAAAGGTCTTACCACGAACTGTGCGCTGTGGTGACTTGTGCCCTCTCGGGAGAGCAGAACACTAATAGGGGCGGTAAAACTGCAGGGGATAAATTTAGAAAAAAAAACCACAACGAACAAGCCAAAATGGACAAGTATAACTATTCACAAAGGTGTATAATATCAAGTGTAAACATTAATTGCATTCACAAGGTGGAAGAACGCCTCTACAACACCCTGTCTAACTGTTTCGAAATCTGATTGATTTGTTTTGCGCTAGAGTAAAATACAGGCGATAAAATTGATAGGAGTTGGAAAAAAAAAGGCCCCCAATGAGCTCCATTTTGTATCTCTTCGAGTGAATCACCTCACATTTTGCAGCTGCCTGCAGATGCTAACAAACTCATCAATTCGAGTTATTCATATTAATAACTGTTGCGAAGTTTTCTTAACATTATGAAAAAATGAATAGGCATATTTATTTCAAAAAAAAAAAAAAACATCTGCATGTGCACAATTTGCTCTCGCATATTTTATACAAACAAACATTACACAAAATGGCCTTTGCGCAGAACTAAAAAAAAGGATATTAAAAAAAGGGTTAAAAAATTTGCAACAAAAAAAAAAAAATAAAATAAATAAATGAAGAAAAGTGTAACATAGGGAAATTTCCCGCATTTCACAGCTCAAACCGTTTTATATGTACAAATGGACACACTTGTGTCAAAATAAGTTGCACGAAAAAAAAAAAAGAAAAAAAGAGGGGCGGCACATCCCTCCCCTTTCCCCTCCCTCCTTTACATCGCCCCTTCAATTGAAAGAAGGGAAAAAGACACAAGTCTGCTTCACAACTCGTGGAAGTCCAAGTGCTCATTGGCCCTTTTTGCCATATCCATTTTGTTACTTATATAATTTTTAATATTTTGTACAATGGATTTGTTGCGAAGGGAGTTGAGTAGAGACCCGCGCCTGCTGCCACTTTCTCCTTCGTCCATGCTGGACAGATTTTCATAAGAAGATGTGTCCCCGTCGACAATACTGCTACAATTTCGTAGACTGTCCAAAGAATTTATTCTTTTCTTTTGTCCATAATAATCATTATACACATCTGTGATATTAAACCCGTTTTTAAAATCTTGGCTCATTAAACTTTTGGCTTCATAAATTATATCATAAGGATCGAATGGAGGGATGTTCTGCAAAAGTTTGAGGTTTACAGTGAAATTCCCACACACCAGGGAACTCTTTAGTTTCGTACAAATGACTAGACATATGTACAAAATGAAATTTTCATCATTATTAATGATGAAGTGGTCGTATAATATAATAGTGTCCGCCATGTCAAACTCCTGAGTTAGTAATAAAAGAATCCATTTTAAAGCATAATATTGCGTTTCGATTTGCAGTGTATACAATTTTTTCCAAATTTCATATTCTTTTATTCTTAACAAGAGAGAAAACTTTTTTAGCTTTCCGTTAATTCCATCATCTGTGTTGTCTAACCCTTCACAGAAAATATCTTTCTGTTTCTGCATTAACTCGAGGAAGCAGAAAAAGGTATCGGCCTCTCCTTGCATAGGGCAATTACATAATGGGTCATTAAAAATAATAAAATATAGGGGAGCTAAAATTTCATTCATTCCTTGGACGTATTTAACATACGGATGAGTTTTTGCATATATGAACAAAATTCTACACAACAGATCGTAATGACTTTTAGGGTTCACAATGTCGCAAACATCTGCTGAATGGTCACCAAAGGAGTGTTCACAGTTGTTCTTTGTTTGACCAATTTTCTCGTCCTCTCTCAATTTTGTCGTAACATGTGAGGAAGTTTCATCGACAAGGGGGACAACTTGTTCATTTGCGTCTTGCGCATTCTTTGTTTGTGATTCTCTCTGCTCGGTGGGCCCCTCCCCCATGTCATTTATGTTGACTAGGGATGGTATTTCCTCTTCTGTGTCTTCTTCAAATTCTTCTATATTAATTAACGTGTTTAATATTTTTATATTATTATTAATTGTTTGCTGTGGGTTCAAATTAAAAAAAGACAACTCGGGTCTGGTTCGAAAAGTATCCTTATTAATTTGGCTGAACAATTCGGAGTTTATGAAGTTCGCGTCTGAGTCGTCCTCCAAATTGGTGGAGGACGTGTCTTCATTTGGGTCTCCCCCCAATTTGGCCCCTGCTGCGACTGCTTCCTGACCTATCTCCCGTGCGTGAACCCCCTGTGCGCCATTTTTCCCCTCCTTGAGCGGATTCAATACAAAGCATTTTATATAATCCTCGTACAGCTTCTTCTTTTCCGCAAGTTCTTCATTCCACCTGCTCGTATTTAAACTGAGGTGCTTTAAAGCTAGCTTCCAACATAGGGAGCGAACACAAGGGTTAAGGTCTAAAATGTTTTTCTCGAACAGGTAAGCCAATTCCTCCTCGTCAATTAAGACCTTTTCGAATATGTTAATGCAGGTCTTTATTTGCTCGTCGAACTTTGCAATTCGTTCATTTTTTTTTTTAAAAATGAGTAGGTAGCTCAAAATTTCTAATTTGTACTCCATCTCGGTTGGGCGGTTGGCTGAGCTAGGGAAAACTATACTACGGTAGTCCCGTAGTTGGGGCGATAATCCAGCTATGCACTCACCAACCTGTATACTCCCCTATTCATGCATGTAACTTGGCCTGCGCTGCTATTCTCCCGTCAAGGAAAACAAAAAATTGCAATGCGCCTGCTGCTACTTTTTCAATTATCGCAAATCGCGTGGCGCCGCAAAACTTCTGATACAAAATATTACCCACAAATTATAACCCCCTAACATATAACATACAAAAATGTAGGCAAGGGGAAAACTCCATTCGATATACCTTAACAATTGCGCCGCGGCATGTTGCGAATCACTGTCGTGTTATGGCCTACGATGTATCGTGCGTGGGTACACGTTCGCATGTGCTTACATTTATACGAGCAACGAATATGTAAGCATTACTACACCGAATTTTATTACATTGAAGGGTAAAAAAAAAAAACAAAGGTACAATTTAATACAAATCTAATGATGATCACCTTTTTATTTGTGCTGCAATTTAATTTTTACGTCAGCAGAGTGCGCCTAGCGCAGTTGATATAAAATTGCCAAATTGTTTCGATGCACAGTGGAAATGTGTTTTGTTTCATATTTGGAAAAAAAAAAAAATTAAAAAAAAAAAAAAAAATTGTTGGTCTTAATATCGTACATCTTTAGTGAGTCACCGGTGGATCTCTTCCCAAGCCAATTTTTTTTATCGCTTCGTGCTTACAACAATGTAAAGATCAAAAATTATGTATTAAAAGAAAAGTACGCTATTGTTAAAAATGCCAAGTCGTTTACCCCCTGGAGGGTCGCAAATTTACACAAGGGGGCAGAAACATTCAAAATCAGGAGGAAGGAAAAAATGAAGTGCAACTATCATGTCAGGAAGTTCAAAAATACATGGAGAGGAAACTCGAGCACGACATGATCAGTTTTTAAAGGTAAAAAAAAATGCAAATATATTGAGAGCATATGTGTAACCCTCAATCTAACATTCATTATAAGGATACAACTTCCGCACGAATACTATATACTTATGCCATTGTTAAAAACACACACACAGGTGAAAAGACCACCCACCCAAAATTGTAACTGACAGCGCACACAGGAAAAGCCATTTTGTGTCTGACAGAATTATGCCTCACAATGGTGCCGAAATGAAGAGGTCTTCATCCCGTTTTTTTTTATCTGCATGAAGATGAATTAATGTTAGCACAAGAATTACATGGTTGACACTTCTTCAACTTTTTTTTTTAAATTCATTCTGACTGCAAAGCAGCGACTAGTGAGAACAAAAAATGTGTGATTTTCAAAAAGCTTTTTTTTTTGTTTTACTCTATATTTTTTTATATAAGAGGAGTACATATTCGTGTTGCAAAAGATACGCCACCGGACAGTGGAAGTTCATTAGTGCATCTGGCACAGTTGGGGATCGAAGAAGCAGCAGCAGATGTGTCTTTAAGGCCCCTAAGGTAGGCTCAATTTGGTGAAGCGGCTAAGCACATTCCGTGTGCCCATTGAGTTCGTGCCCGTTATTATTATTATTATTATTTTTTTTTTTTTGTTTCTCTATTTTCCCTTCCTGTCATTACACCGCGCCACCAATTTACACTTTTTTGGTTCCCCTGGTCAGCTGAAGGGAAGGAAAAAATTTATTCAGGCTCAGGATAACGCCAACTTGGAAAAAATAAAGAAACTAAGGTAAAGACGGCTCCCCCCGCTCCCGTTCTTCATCGCACCATATATTGTCATCATCGTGTGCGCGAGTTGCGCCATATGAACCCTTTTCACATTTGCACAAATAGACACACTATTGCCCCCCTAACAGAAATGTGGTAAAGGAAATCAAAAAAGATAACGCAAAGGAGTTCTACGACGAAGAGAGACAAAAGAGAGAAAAGGAGACAACCGCGTGGAAGGTCATCCTGTACAACGATGATATTCACAAGTAGGAACAGGAGGAAGTGTGAAAGGGGAGATTTTCAATGCACGTGTGTAGCCATGCTAATTGTTGTTTCATTATTTCCTTCGCTTTTCCATGCGCATGAGCGTAACTATCATCCATGTGTTGAAAGCACACTCATGAGAAAGCTCCAATACGTGGCTGAATTTCCCCCTCCCTCCATACAAACACACAAACACACCCGCACCTGCGCAGTTTCACCTACGTAACGGACGTAATCGTAAAGGTAATTGGACAGATAAGCAAGGCAAAGGCACACACCATCACGGTAGAAGCCCATAGCACAGGTCAGGCTCTCGTTTTGTCCACTTGGAGATCGCAAGCGGAAAGATACTGTGAAGGTAATAATGTGAACATGGATACGTATGTGCTTATGCACAAAAATGTTTGCATGGCTTATGGGACGTTGTACATAAGTGACTCCGAACTTTACGTGAAAGTAATGTAAAAAGTACCCACCTTGTCATTTTTTTACAGAACTGCAAAAAAACGGCCTTACCGTTTCGATAATTCATGAGAGTCAGCTGAAGGAGAAGAAACAAGGTCCCGACGCAGGCTCGTAACAGTGGTACCGCTCCAACTAGCATAGCTTCGCAACACTGGAAATGTGTAGCCTTAATGTTTTACCCACTGCGTGCAACGTAGCGCATCTGCACAAGTTATACGTTTTGTTCGACCCAATTTCGCAAATGTTCCCCCGATAGGGCACGGCATACGCGGATAGCCCATGCTAAGTGCCCATTCAGTTGGTGAATTTATTTTTGTTTAAAAATGTGGAACACCATTTAGTATAATGCCATTTTTTGTAAACTATTAAAACAAAGTCAGTTGCGCAGAGGGCATAAAAATATAAGTTTGAATGTACACATACTTTAAAAAGACGAAATCAAACAAAAAAATTAATAATAAAATGGGAAAGGAAAGAAATAAATATGAAATAATAGAAGTGTAACTTCTTAATGTGCAACAAAAGTACTCGATAAGAAATGCATGTAGAGGGCGCGTATATACGTAGGAACAGCACACACACACCCCTTTTTTTTTTTTTTTGTGCGTATTTAAAAATAAAAAGGTTCATTTGTAAATGCGGGGGTGACTACCACAGGGGGGAAAGAAGAAATGTACACAAATGCGCCGCTATCCTCATGTATGTAGCGTGCACATTTAAAAAAAAATCGTTTCCTACGGGAGCCACGTACCGCGTCATCACGTTGTGTCAGGTAGCACAACGCTGCTGGAACTATTCATCACTCAGGAATTCCCCCAGCAAGTGGTCGCATGTGGACCACGTTGCTCGCTTCATATACGCATAGGGTGTGGGGGAAAATAAAAAAAAAAATAAAATATGATAAAATGCAATATGTAAAAGCAGGTGTGACAAAAAACTAAAAACAAAAGAGTGACACGACAAGTTAAGACGGGGAAAAAAAGGCAAAATCCCATTTGCAAGTGTCCGCATTTGCGATGCGAATTTTTCCTCAATGCAACAAAAGTTACTTTCTTCTCATTTGTTCATGTCAGTTCCGTTAAGTCCCCTTTTTTTCTCTCTCACATTTTGATCTCGTCACATATCGTTGGGAAACTTCATGTACTGCACGAACATGTGCCCTATGAACTCATGTCCGTAGGCAACTGGGCAAAACATCTCCTTATTATTGTAGTCCTCCACTTGGTTAATCGTGGCGAAGGAAGTGTTCGTGTCTTGCACATACACAGCCCTCTTCCAGTACTCACTGGATGTAACCCAGGAAACGTAAAATATGGAGTTCTTCAAAATGAACAAGACAATATCTTCATACTGTGTGTTCCTTTTCTTGCTTTTCTTAATTTGTATATCATGTTCTAATGCTAAAATGGACTGTAAATAATAGGGTCTGGACATTTTTGTTAAATTTTCGGACACCTTTATAAAATGCTCATTGAGTAAATTGACATGGTTCTGTGGCTTGTAAAAATTTTCATAAATATACATTAAATATTTACATGACTCTTCATTGTAGCAAGGAATATGTTTTCTAACTTTCCTATGGCAATCGCCTACCCTGGAGCCAAAAGTACATTCTTTAGGGAACATTTTATTTAACTCTTGGAATGTTTTATCATGCATAAACGCACATTCATACATTTCTTCTAATTCCTTGTTAGAATATTTTCCATTCAGTGTAATTTTATTGTATTTTTCATCTGTTACATTTTTTTTATTCTTCTTCATCAAGGGGTAATATTCTGAGCATCCTTTATATGCCCAACTATGGCAATCAAATTTTAAATTGTAAATGGTGTCTTTAACTTTTTTTGACATAAGGAGCAGAAATTGCAAATCTGTGCCTGGGTAGCTAATCAAGTTGTACCTGTTTTTAAAAATACCAGAAGTAATAAGATTATTTTCTACGTTCATTCCAGAGGCGATATATTCCAACTGCGCTATAAGTCTTGTTTGTCCATAAAGTTCAAAATTGCTCTGTTCGTAGTAGGTTTGTCCTTGTTCCAGGATGGAGGTATATCTTAGATAGACTTTGGTGTTTATATCAAAGGCGGAATCAGCTAGCCAAATGATTTTAAAACCGTGTAGTGTACAGAATCCAATAGCTGCTTGTACCAAGAAAGTTGCAGATACTGGTAAATGTGTCTTTTTGCTTTCATCCCCCAGGTAACTAATGGCACATCTGTGGGGATCTTGCTCTTCAAATTCAATGCCAATTAATCTCGTGTTTTCTTTTAAGGTATACAAATTGGGGTCAATTTCGTTTTTATTATTCTTCTGTTTATTCTTTTCTGCATATTCATGATTGTATACCAGCTGAGGAAGCAACTTGGTTTCACATAAAACATCTGATAGCCACCTACCCGTAGCTCCACGAATTGGCCACTTTCCCATCCTCGTGCAGGAAAATTCAAGGTCTACTTTTGAAAAAACATCTGGATCTTCTTTCGACTTTTTAATTAGCATATTATAATGTTCCTCATCATATTTGTCGAACGTTTTCATCTTTTTTTTAATTTCATAATAATACTTGTAATAATTTTCAATCTTTGTTGGGACATCTTTTACTATAAAGGAAACTTTCTTTTCGAATATTTTGCTTTTAAAAAAATTGTGTCTCATTTGATCATCTAGTTCGCTAAATCCTGGGTGAATGTCATATACGTGTTGTAGCTCTTTCAGACGGTACTCCGTTTTTAGTGGGTACACATCTCCCATGGAGGTGGAGACTTTATGCTTCTCAATGTCAAATGGCTCTTCTTCCTTTTCGTCAAATAACTCCTCTTCGTCCTCTCCGTGGTAAAAGTTGTCAAACAGATTATGGTTCTTATTAAACATTGGGTTGTTTTGGAACAAGTCCATGAAGCTGCTGCTTTCTTTGTCTTCTCCCAAGAAGTCGTCAAACATGTTAAAGGTGTTCACGTGGTCATCCCCTCCCTTTCCTTCTCCGCCTTCAGCTGCGTGTCCGTCCTCCTCATGATCGTCATGTTCGTCGTGTTCATCATGTTCACCGTGTTCATCATGTTCACCGTTGTCATCATGTTCGTCTCCGCCACCCCCCTCATCTGTATGATCGTATCCTTCGTCGCCTCCATCGTGATCATCCCCACCATTATCATGATTAGGATGTCCACCTCCCGAGGAGCCCTTCTTTCCCCCCGAGTGTGAGAGGACCCTCTTGTTGTTCTTACTGAAAAAGTCTGCAATGTACTTGTTCACGTGGACGTACTTTTTCCCGTTGGCTTCAATGAAGGAAGAAATTTTGCACACATTGTCCTCTTCCATTTGGCTTTTCAAAATGAAGAAGCCGTAGCTGCTCAGGTCGAGGGTTTGGAAGGTGTAATTGTAGAATTCGAATTCAACGGCTTCATCTGACGGCTTCAAGATAGCGTCTTCATCTTCCAAACTGATTTCCTTCTTCCACTTACCGCTATGGATATAATCGTAATCAAAGTTGGTGTAGTACATCTTTGCTAGTTCATTGTACTCTTCTGCCGATGCAGATTCATCCGTCTTTTCAACACCCTTGTTGGCATTATAAGCCGCGATGCTATTACTCTTGGTCTTCTTATAATTCACTAAAAACGAGTTTGAAAAATAGTTTACAAGGATGTCCCAGACCTGTTCATCATTGATAATTTTTCCTAAGTCGGCCAGATTGCAATTAAAAATACAAGCCGCATTGTAGTAAATAAAATTGACCATAAAATTTTTAAAGTACAAATCGTATATTCCATCAAGGAAAATAATTTTCTCAACACATTTGTGAATGGATGGGATATTTTTACATATGCCATTAATAATGTACACAAAAATTTTGGGATTATTTTGCATCACATCTCTTTTATTTTCTGGAATATATCGTAAAAAATATTTTATACTAGCCCCATAGTACTTGGATGTATATTTACTATAACACTGAACAATCCTTTCCATATATTTATTGTTGTCTAGGAGGTTATACAATTCATTAAATTTTTTCTTATACAGAGTGTTGTCCTTGTTCAGTCCTAGCCACGATACGTACGAATTATTTTTGGTAATTGCCATGGCGGATGGAGATATATACGAACCGAGGATGTGATCTATATCTGCTAGCTTAACATTATATACAAAGTATTCATAGTTTATGTAGAACATGGTAGTATTTTGTATATTAAAATTGAGAGAATTTAAACTGTATGGTATTTCATTAAATATAGGAGTAGTTAGCGGGTGGATATTATCCGTCATGATAAAATGGTTGTGGAAGCCCAGCTTTGTACATAAGCCTACTAACGCTTTAAACAAATCAAAGTCATGCTTATTCATAATGGTATGAACACTCGAATGTATCCTACATACGGAATCGTCTATTATCTTTTTGGTGAGGGCTAATCCGTCAATGTTTTTCAAATTTAAAACGTCATCTACATGGTTTGACTGCTTTAACAATTCTTGAGAAACGGACAAATCAAAAGCTATATGGTACGAATCTAGATAATTGTTCAAAGCGTTATATCGTACACATTTTATAATTTCCTTATTGTTACTATACAAGAAATGGGCGCACAAAAATTCAATATTAACAACATCATTTCCCACTTCCAATTCGCTTATTACTACATGGGGAACTTTGTACGTTTTGCTGCATATGTTATTAAATACTTGTTTATCTAAAATGGACGTGTCTTCTGTGCATAGGGATTTCAATTTTAATTGCCAAAAGGCTTTGAGAGAATTTAAACTCTCCAAATTGTTGCAGTAGTCTGTGTTCCCCTCCTGCTCTTCTATTTGGTGCCCATTGTACTTGTCAAATATATTTGATAATAATTTGACGCTGAAATTAAAGTCGCACTCGTTCTGCAGGCCATGTATCCTCTGCACCCAGCAAGTAAGGCTAAAGACCGCTAGCCAAGCTACCAACTTGAAGATCATCATTTTGTTTGCGCTTCTGGGTGTGTGACTGCTTTCACGTGTGAGGTATCCTTTGGGGAGCCAATTATTGTGCTTTATTTTTGCCTTCCTATTTGCTCCTCTCTCTAAAATCTTGTTATCACTTTTTCCCTACTTAAATCACATCTGGAGCTGCGCAGCGGGATCGGGGGGGCAAACCTTTGCAAAAGTAACCGCGTGGCCAAATACTTCCTCTTCGGTTTTAAGAACGACAAAAAATGTTAAAAAAAATCAGAGAAAAACATTTTCTATATATTTGTCCTACTTGCAGTTGCTAGTACAAATATGTATATGCGTATTATTGTTTGAAAATGGTGAGGCTGGTTACATATATATGTACAAGGAACCGTATTTACATGCGGCCATACATATAAATATACATATTGTATATATTTACTTTGTACGCCTTTATGCTTAGTCCCTGCGATAGGTTCAACTTTCTAACACTGCAGAATGATTGCTTCATATTACAACTGGGCGTCATAACTTAAGTCAGCACGCCACTACGTCGCAATGTTACTATAACCCATCGTAACATCGCATTACGCTAAACGTAATTTTGAAGTTAAAAAAGGGAATAATTGCAGGGCTGATCAAAAATGCCTACGCACAAGTTTGTTAAAAAAAAAAAAAAAACAAGAAAAAAAGAAAACACGAAATGAAGGAAAATATGCAAAAAAAAAAAAAAAAGTTTCCGTTCACGACTAAATATTAACAAATAAAATAGCTCTTGCCTTTTTAATTAAGCATGCATATATGCAGCATTTAAAAAAAAAAATGCGAGAAACGGGAAAATAAAAAAGAACACCGTTTTGCTTTGTATTATGCATTCCATCGCGTCTTCTTTTAATCTTCTGCAAGGGTTGTAACGACGGGCAATAATTTGTAAACTTGTAAATTTTTGTTAATTTTGGGAAACAAAGCGGCATTCGCACTACAAATTAGTGGATGTGCTATAAAAATGAGCCAGAATGTCATTAATCTACCGAATGAAAGTTGGTCGTTCTTCGAATAAGTCGGAATAAATTTATACGCATGAGCGCAATAATTTATTGGCTTAAAAATACGAGTTCTTTTGCATTGTAGTACATTACAAGTACAGTTTTTCGTGTGTGCCCAAGTTAATTCTTATGTGGCTTCAAGCCTGCCGCGCAACCTGAGGCACGGGCAACGGTTATTTTAAGTTTCATTCTATTCACTGCGTTTTCCTCGTGGCATTTCCCGTTGTCCTATTATGTTTCTTTTTTTGTGTTTTAAAAAAACGTGCATGTGGAAAATTATTCGTTTCATTCCATTATTCTTAAGAGGGGCCTTAATGTGCGCATCGCTTGCGCATATTCATTCATGTGCCACGTAATAAATCAAGAACTTCACGGGTTTGTTCGAATTGGTTTGCCTTTTTTTATAACGCTTCGCCATGTAACATGCTGAAAAGTAAGCGCAGGAATAAATACCTCATATGTAAAGGGTGAATAAATAAATAAAAAAAAAAAACTATTGTTCTGCGTCAAACGGGTGAACAAAGAACAGAGCTGCCCGACGTGCCTTCCACATACGCATAAATGAAGGAGGAAAATTGTAGAAACAAAATGAGATAATATGACATAATATGAAATATCTTAATACATTTGTGGTGGAACATGTGAAAGAACCGCTGACCGTTGAAACCCCCCTGCCTCACACATTTTGAAGGTGTGTACATTTATACATTGATGTTCATTTTAGTGGGCTTCTCAAAAAACCACATATGATAAAAAGAAATTATATATTATGGGAAAAGAAAAGAATTATATTTTAATGCAAATGCTTTTTCTTTTTTTCTTTTTTTTGTACCGTGAAACATTTTACATAGTTCCCATTCAATGGCGTACTTTTTTTTTGGAAAAAGAGCGTAAGTAAGAAATGCAGAATGGGTTTCATTTTAGGGAGGGTCTTACAAAAAGTCTATTTTGTTAAGATGGCACATGGAGGGTAAGCGCAATTTGATTTGGGTTTTCTACGCATGAGAATTCGTTTTTTTTGTCTGCTTCTTTTCAAGGCGTATGCCTTTCGTTGGTTAAAAATTCACTCAAAATGAGGAGCGAATTTGGTTTCAATTTTTGTTATAATGGCGAAGAAGATTTGGTCTAACCGACTGCGGACAGCGCATGCCATTGCTGACAGGAAGGCAGCATTTTTTTGTTCAGCCATATGGCAAACGCGTTCTGTGATGTGGCGCAGCAGCTGGTGACTCGCCTCTGCACTAGGGTTTACGGTAATCTAGACATTTTCTAAAAAAGGCACTTTAAGCGGGAAATTCGTCTTCCTATGTTTTCTCCCCAAATGACAGATGTGCAATATAAGAAGTTGCTATACTTCCAAGTTGATCATTTGAAGAGGCAAATGTGGCAATGTTGGAAAATGGCGTTCAAGAGGTGATTATCCATGGTCCTTTTTTTTTACGTGCGTTATAGTTTGTATCACTGCCGCAACTTTCGCCTTTTCCGAAAATGCGCGCTCGTGTGTGTGCATGTAGATGATCTTTTATACGTTGGAGGGAATTCTATCAATTGTAGAGATTTCCACCTCCAAATGTTCGCCCTCATATAGTTGGGAAAGATCAAAACGGTGGTACGTACGCAGCCATAATGTGGCAATTTTGTTTCATCGAAACAATGTGTTGATGAGAATGAGCAACGCAAGTGTACACACAAGTGTTCACATGATGCCAAAAAAAAAAAAAAAAAAAATCAAAATTTCAAAAGTTGAAGCATACATATGGCGTAAAGCATGTTGTGAGGACGATACTACACGAGGCAAAATGCAAAATGTCCAGTCTACATTAAAGTGCATAGTCGGTGGACAAGGAAATAGGAAGTAGGCTTTTTGTTTTTTCTTTTACATGTGGCATATAATGCCAATAATGCAGAATAAACACGTTGTACATTCTTGCTCTGATTCGCCTGTGCTTTCCTTCGTATAACATGATGGACAAAACCCTTTTCATCTCATTCTTGTCAGTTTGCTTCCTTAAATGTTTGCTTTGTAGCACAATACAAATTTATGAATTTAACAAAAGGGAGTTGCTAAAATTTTATGAAGGGTCCACAGGGAATGGCTTAGGTTTATACAAAAATACGCTGGACGCGGAAGACGTATTTCACAATTTGAAGGTACTGTCCATATGCAATAATAATAGAAATAATTTTGTTAAGTACATTTCCAACTTGGTTTGTAAAAATATTTTCTTGTCCTCTCATGTAAGAATAAAAAATGTGGATGTCCTCTATGGGGACATGGTTCACTCGAAGGGGTCCACACACGTGAAGGAAATAATCTTCGTCTGTAATTATTATATATATGACAATTCATACGAAATTATAAAATGCAATGATGATAAGGATGCTCTACATCCTCTGTACGTAGGGTTCGACATAGAAAGGAAGAGAAGTGATGAAAAAAAAGGACCAAGCCATCATGGCGGCTTCATGCAGTCAAACCATTTAATAACTTCCAAAAAGACGCTTTCTGTGGGTGGTGCGGAAGAAGCTGATTCATCCACGAAGAAGAATAGCAATGGGGTTATAACCTCCAGTGTGGACACCCGCTATGAGGACTATTTATGCAAAATAAAACTCAATGTCCATTCTTACTTAACCGAGGCAGAAAAGGTTATGTTAAAAATTTTAATCGGTTTGTGCATCAAATTGGGATACAAAAGGCAAATCTTGTTCACAGAAAATATGTACTCCTTGGTTAAATATTACGAACGTAACCAATTGAAGGATACCCTTTTCAGTCTCCAGTTCGATGTACATTATAGCAAATTTTATTCTCCTAATGACGTGTATACTATAGAGAGTGAAAATTCCTTTATTAATGATGAGAGAAGGATGGGAAAAGAAAAGGGCATACCCACAATGCACTTCAAATTTTTTGCTAACAAATCGTATTTGCTCTGGAGAGGGATAGAACAGAAAAAAGAACTTTTTAATTATAAATTGCGTGAGCTGGCAAGCTTGCTAAATGGGATCAACTACAAAGAAAGGATTAAAGCATGTTACATGAACGAGTTGTATATGCAATACGAGGAGGATGAACTGTATTTGAGGAAGAGCTTGTCTAGCATGTTAACCAAGCAGTCGGCTGAAAAAACGAAGCATCAAAACCATTTGAGGATTGAGGACAAGAACAAATCGCAAAATTATATTTTAGTGGAAGCACTCGAACATTTCTGCGGAGAGGACGTCGCATCTTTTGAAGACTGCGTCAGCAACGTGATGTCATCCTCAACGCTGGATGAGAAGGGGAAAAGCATTATGCACCATTTCTTATATAGCAACTTTTTATGCGTTGAAAAATGCCCCCCAAGTGAAGAACAAATAAACGTATTTGGACAAGATGTGGTGAGAAAAAAATTACAGCAATATATCAGTCAGAGCAGCTCCTTACCATTTAGGAGGAACACTTTTTCAGAAAAGATAAAAGACAAAATTAAGAAGAAAAAAATACCTAGTAATGTTTTGCTCCCTCGGGATGAAAACATACAACGGGAGTTCTTCGAAAATGTTATGTTCTCCATCGATTTTGACTCCATAAAATTGTTACTTAAGGATGAATTAGACAAACTGAATGTGAAGGATAACGTGGAACAAAGAATTTGCAGTATTGGAAAATACGTAAGGGATCATGAAAAGCTCTACATAAGGGACTACCAAAGGGGGAAGAGTAGAGTACTGTACGAGTTTGGTATATTAAGGGGTTCCTTTTGGAATTTCCTCAAGGGTGCTCGAAGGTGGGATTGGGGGAAGCAGGCGGAAAACGGTGGAGACTTGCATTTTGCGATACAAAACTCGCATGCAGGTGTTGCCAATACGGGGGTGCCAACATGTACTTCCAAAAATGGTGATAAGAACCATGGGGTGGGAGATCCACGGGCGAACGGGATGGATACAGGAAAAGACACAGACATCACTTCACCTCCGTTCATCGTCGAGACAAATGGAAAAAAAATCCACGTACTGCAAAGCGAGTACGAGTATGACGTTTTGCGGGACGTTTACCAAACTGATCAGGCGAATCGGAGAAGTGGTGAGCAGGACAGTCACTTCTCTACGCACAGCGCAGTCAGAAGAAACTCATTTTTAAACCTTTTTCATAATAGGGAGGGTCACTATAAATTTGTTATCAAAAATGTTCCCATCAAAATGAGCGAACCTTTGCAGAAAAGTGGGAACCATCGGGGCGGTGGCAACGAACTGGAGACAGACCCATTGCCCCTCTCATACAGGAACTTGCGATTTGCATGCAGCCTAGAAGGGACGTGGTCATATGCCAGGGGAGACGTGGCCTTTTTTAAAAACGGAGGCGTCCACTGCGAAGCGGAATTTCAAAACGAGTTATCAGTGAGTACAACCCCCCGAAATGGGAAGCGATCACATGGGCACACATCAAGGGGGGTACTAATAAAAAGTAGCGACGTGAGGAGCAAAATGGTGGAGAGCAATTCTTTTGATAAAAGGGATGAACCCATGAAGAGTGAAAAAAAAAAGAAGGCTCCATTTTTACATCCAGAAAGTGTGTTACACGAAAAGAAAGAAATGTCTTTTGCTGAAAATTTAGGTGTCAAGAGTGAAGTTGTCGATTTTGTCCTTTTCCGTGATGTGTGTACAGTTAGGTACTTGGGGAAAGGAGCACATCCCGTTAATTTCCCTTTCTTGGGGAATGATCTTCTGGAGATGATATTTGGCTATTGTATTTTACATGGGTTTACACAAATCAGAGTAAAAAGTGATTCCTTAAATTACGAAACTGGTATAAGGACATCATTTATTGAAATATTACTTCATGGGAAAACATCAGTCGAACATTTAGGGTTAAGACTTACAAATGTAGCGAAAATTTCTAAAGACTTATATTATGTCATCACTGGGTATACATGGGAAAGTGATTTGGTACTATCACCGATGGTAAGGTTTGAAAATAATTTATACATAAATCATGACATAGAGAAGCAATTTTTCCGTTACGTGAACAAAGCGTGTAGAAATATGCTACACAACTTATCTTTCACTTGTGAAGAAAATTATTATCCTTATAAAAATTGTTATGACATTTATCCATCAGTGCGAAGGAATCAGAATAATCTTTGTCACTTTGAACTTAATCCCATATACAAAGAATTAAAGGAGCTTGTTCCCGACTCTTGTAATATTGGCCAACGTATTAGAAAATGCTATGAGGAGATACAAAAGCATATTCCTTGCACACATAACGGTGAAGGAGAAGAAGACGGATGCAAGTACTACAACTTTATTGTAAATACATTCATAAGGCCCAGGAGGAAAACGTCCTTTTTTATTTATCACAATATGTATGTGCAGGAATATCTAACAAAGAAATCTTACCCCTATTACTTGCTGCTCAGTGAGGTCATAAAAAATGAAGAACATAACTTACTTGAAAAAGGCAACTATGATTTAGTAGCCGATGCACAGACGCACCTCTTCTTAAATCACGTTTTGCAAAATTCTACATTTTTTACGTTTTGGAATTTCTCCACTGAATTTTGGAAAAGGTTTCGGTACATCCAGGCTAAACCAACCGCGGCTACCTCCACATCACAGAAAGGGCAAACCGTATTTTGCCCGATGGCCTATGCGTACGAATTTGTGGAGCACCTCGACGTGTTTTATGTGAGGGAGTAGGCATTATGGGGTAATCAAACTGTGGTGGGCAGTCGACTCCTACAGCACTACGTCACAACGAATTGTAATTGGAAGGATGGTCCTTTAGTGCAAGAAAAAAAAAAAAAAAAAAGACTGCTTCCCCTATGTCCACAGAAATGGCGAATTTTCCGGGTTTTCCCTGTTCTGCTTGTCGTTGAAAGCGCTTCCGTGGCGGACTCCCCAAAACGTACTGCCTGGATTTTTACAATTTCCTAAAGTGTGCATACATAGGTGCCGAGTCGGAAGTAGGCACGTTATCATATAGCACCGTTTTCCCATAGTACAGGAGAATTACCAGCGCAGTTAGGGGCACTTCTCCTCCGCCGTCCTTTCCACACATTAGTGTAGGTCCCCTTTTGTATTTTAGCCGCTTGATATACACGTACGCATGTGTGTAGAAGTGCAGTAATTCAGTGCAGGGCAGACAGAGCAAAATGGACTGGGAATTTTGGCGAAAGTTACCATTTGACAAAGTTCCTGCTTGAACGGTTACTATTTCTCGAGCGAGGCCCCTAATGCACCTATTGTGACATCGTAAGGGCGTCCGCAGCAAAATTGCAGACGTGCCCATGTAGCCAAGCAGATGTAGGTCGGGAAAAAAAAAAAAATTATCAAGTGAAGAAAAGAAACCCGACATTAATATGCCTTGTGGGTCCAAAGGAAATAGGAGGTAATTGTAAAAATTGCCTAAAATTGGTTAAAAATGCTTAGAAGGCGCGTAAAGCCCTTTGGGGAAGATCCATTTTCCCCACTTTGTTTATTTCCGATTTTACGGAATGGAATAAAAAGGCAAATCTGTTTAATGTGCGTAATGTGATAGCGAGCGCGCTGATCAACAGTAAAGCGAAACAGCAGAATTGGGAGAGGCGAGGCGACAATAAAATAAAAAAAACATAAATAAGAAAAAAAAAAAAATAATAATAAAATAAAATAGTTAGCAAAGAGCGTGTTAAAAACTGGCGAGGACACATAGTATATGCAAAAAAAAAAAAAAAAAAAATGCCACGGACTGGAGAGAGTTTTACGAGAACTCACATTTTTACAAAAACGTCACAGACAATAATAAGGGAAAAAAAAAATCCGCATGTGTAGTTGCAAATATAAGCACGAATATACACATGCGTGTGTATGTCCCATTGCACCCTATATACATATGCATACTTGAACGGACGTGATACTCTCCTGAGGAACACGGCATAACGCAGCCATGTGCTCGTTCACCATCGCCCATAGGTGAGTTGCTTCACGCGTGTAGACCGCTATAAGCCAAAAATACACCTGCCCATGCGTAAGCAGGTGAGCTTGTGGAAGACCGGTACAAATAAACTCAAAGGACACACACAAAAAACCTAAGTGACATTAATTTTTCTGAGCAATGTGAGGCAGTGCCGAGTGATAGGAGAACACATCACGGAAGCGAAGTTGCATTTGCCTCCCGCCGGGATATCCAACCCGCTCTACAATCAGGTGGATAGAGGATTCTCAAAACCATGGAGCGCAAGAAGGCACAAGAGATTATTGACGGGATACAGGCAACTGACCCCAAGACAAGACTGAAGTACATGAAGGAGATAAAAACGTTGTGTGAAATTGTAGGAATGGAAAAAACAAAAAATGAAGTCATCGAATTTTTGTACAATATAATAGAAGATGATTCAGATGTCCTTTTCGAATTGTCCAATAATTTAGTTACCTTAACAAATTTTTTAAGTGATGTAAATGATTGTAGTTCCCTATGTGACTTAATACTACATTTCATTGTGACATACGAAAAGGAAATTAATGTGAATGCCTTTCAGGCCTTTAATAATTATTTACACAAATGTAACTGTATCACACTTATAAATATTATATGCCCTAAAACGATGAAGCTAGTTAGTAGCGATAGTGATAACTACCGAATCGGAGTTAGCAAAATTATTCCAATAATAATTGAGAGGTGTATACAGGAAGGACAAAGTAAATATATGAAGACGTTCATTCAGCTGTTTTTAGAATTGTGTCAAGATCAAAGCATACTGGTAAAGAAATCCTGCTGTGAAACTTTCTGTTCCTTCATTTTTATTTTAAAAAGGTATAAGGAACTTAGTCAGAATTGTAACTACGCTTCAGCGAAAATGGAAGAAGAGAAGGGGAAGGCACTTCCTGAAGATGAAACTGATGGGAGAGCCCATGGATATGCACTTCAAACTGGTGCGAATAATGAGGCTGATTGGAAAGGGGGGACGCTCAGTGGGGATAGGAAAGAACAGGTGGAAGGAAAACTTGAAAAGGGGGAGGAGGTGAATGGTGTGATGAGTACTCATAGAACCGCAGCAAGCGGAACAAGTGGACACGCACCAAATGGGGACGAAAAGGAAAAGGGAAAAAACATGGAAGAGGAAATTATAACTTTCAAAACGAATGAAAAGCGGAAAATATTTGTAGAGAAACTGTGGGAAGGAGCGAAAGAAATATACAGAAGTTTTTTTTCCCCTATCAATGGAATGGACGAAGTACAAATAAGCGCAGTATCCATATTAGCAGATATCCTAACATGTGATCCACATTTTGTGAAAAATTTAGAAGAAACATTAAGGAACATTTGTAATGACGAAAGCTGGAGAGTAAGAGCCGTTTTAGCAAATAACATTCACAGAATTTTAAAAGTACGAAAAAATGAAGACATTTCTATAGTCATTCTTTTACTGCTGAAAGACGTAGACAGCAATGTACGTAGTATTGTGCTAAATAATCTGGACAATATTTTAGTGAATTCAAAAATTAGTGTAAATATAATGGATGAAATTTTTGATGATTTGAAAAGAGACATTGATAGTAATAATGTGCATTTAAAAATTTCCCTGTGTAAATTATTATGTTCTTTACCAGATATATTGGACAAAAATGGATCCATAGAATATATCCTTCCATTATTTTTATTATTCATAAGGATAGAAGAAAGTGATTTGAAGTCTGATCTATTCACATGCTTACACAAAATTTCTAAACTTATTTCCTTTTTTGATATGAAACAAATTATTATGCCATTGTGTCAAGAAATTGTTAAAAGTAGGAATTGGAGATTAAGGTGTACATTATTTCATTACTTAAAATTTTTTGATCATTTTTTTTTTTATCAAAATAAGGAAAATTTTTCATCCAATTATGGCGATTTCTGGAACTTTATAAATATAGGGGCTAAGGATATGGTCTACTCTATCCGAATGGAAGTAGTGAACACCCTACACTTTTTAATCAAGGCCAAGAATTTCTCCTTTTTTGAAAAAGGAATTACTTACCTGTTAAGTGATCTTAAAGAATCTAGTAGGCACATCTGCAGAATTACGTGTCTTCAATACATTTCCAGACTTGTAGTTTATTTTCCCCTGCATTATATCGAAAACAAGGTGCTAGCCATTTTGGAAGATTTGAACAAAGACAAAATAAGTAACGTTCGTTATAACATAGTTAAGACGATTTATTATGTGAAGAATTACGTCAAGTACGTCTTGTCTGTCATTATGAGTGACACGTACAATACGCTGATGGGTAAAATCACCAAAATGGTGGAAAAGAGGAACAGGGAGAATGAGGAAAGTGAAAAAGTTCCTGGGAGCCAGGGGGCCCAAGTGCCTACTCCAACTACAGGGGTGAAGGTAGATCAACATTCCCCTTTAGGTACAAACGTGGACGCAGAAACGGATGACGAAAGCGAACATGATATGCAGAATTTCATGTCGACCAAGACAAGTGGAAATGGGGATGGCTACTTTCAACTGTTGGAGAGTAAGCAGTGCCTACTAAAGGATCAGATTAAGAGGAAGAAATATTCCTTTTTAATCAATTCATGTGCAGTGTCGTCTCTTACCTTTTACGACAATATGAAGAATACGGACACGAACAGACGTTGCTGCGAGCGCATTTTGGGTTTCCTCTCGGAGAAGATTAATTCACTGGGGGCCGACAAGGATGCGGATGTGTCTACGGCATCCAAATCTTTGAAGAACGACGATTTTTTTTATTACATAAGTTCTGTAAACACCTTCAGCGCGGTGTGCAGGCCGATTAAATGAAGTCGAGAAAAGCCACTTTATTGTGCATTTGGATATTTGCGTGTATATTTTGTGGCGCAGACTCCTTTCCCTTTTCCACACCGCTGTGCCTCTTTTTATGTCAGCGATAATTCCTCCCGCATATCCGTGCATGAATGCACGTAAATTATGCCACCATAATTCCTTTCCTTTCCTGTTTTTTTTTTTTTTTTTTTTTTTTTTGAGCACGCTCAAATTGCTATTGTTACTCCGCGTGCATATACATTTGGAGTAGCCATTTTTTTAATTTTTTCGTAACTTTGAGCCATCGCATTGTTCAAATATTAGCCCCAAGCGGGGGTGTATATGTGTGATCCATGACGTCGGTGTGACGGTAAGCGGCACCATCCGTGGAACTCTCCTACGGGGAGTGCTCCTATTTGTAAACATAAATCGGTGCACACGCGTCTCCAACATGTTAATGACCGTTGGTCGGCAATACACGTTCGGGAAAAAAAAGTAAATGTTGATGTGGGAAACAAAATTGAAAATGTCAAGTGTCGCATACTGCATGAAGGAAAGGCGGCGTGGTATAACAGGTATACACGAAGGGAAAAATGGTGGATGAACTACAATGGTGCCTCATTTGACAAGATGTAGTTACAAAAAAAGGGGACCAGGAGAGGTCCTGTTCTCTATTTGCTGCGCCGCTTTGCGCCATTTGATGTGTCCACCCATTTTTTTTGGTGCACTACATTGGGGGCCTACGCCTCGAACAAGGCGTACAACAAGACGTTGCAAATGTACAGGGACTGGTCACTGGGCATCTTCTTCTGCTTAATGACATTCTTGAATATGAAGAAGTAGGGCATCAAGTCTAGGATATTTTGAGAATGATACACAAACTTCACATGCGCATTAATTTTTTGGTAGTAAATTTTTCTAGATATTACAGAAGGGGCCATTTGAAAGGGGATACAATTTATAATGTCTTTAAGAAGCAAAAGGATTGTTTCTTTCGCCAAGGAAATTACGTCCGTGTTATTGTCCAACGATTCTATGTATGAATCTAATTTGAGCAAATTATTTGTCTCTTCTTGCATCAAGTCCGCAGTAAGGGTGGAGTCTTTTCCATTTCCCATAGCATCCTTTGAATTTTTCGTTTTTTTATAATATAGAAAATCCTTTTTTGCCTTCATTTGATTCGTCTGTCTGGTTTTCTTCCTATTCTTATCATCAGCCTCGTTATCATTTATCACTTGATCTTTGGAAATTTCGCTATTCTGAAATCCACTGTGGGTGGACAGCGTGTCGTTATTGCCATTGCAGCTGGCTACTTCGTTGCGGCAAACATTTTTGACGTTACTTATGACCATATTTTTGTTATTATCGTCATCATGTGGGAGATAATGTTGCATTTTCTCCATCTGTGCAACAAAGGAATTTTTGGATTCTTCCTCTTCAAGGGTCTTATTTTTTCGTTCCCTCACATCAGTAATATGATGCTCCTTCTTTAGAGCTTGTTTGAACTGTTCCGTGTTCGGCCATTCCTTTTGTGGCCATTTTATTTGTGCCCAGTTCATCTCCTTCTCGTTCCCTCGCGTAGAGTCGGCATTTCCACCACAGACGTTTGTACCAATCGCATTCGTTAAATATTCTCCATCCATTTTGTTTTGCAAGCATGAAGGAATAATTTTTTCCCTATCAGCCATATCATTTCGGGTTGCTTGCAAATCATTTTTCCAGGGATATTTCTTGTGGGCAAAAATATGTCCTACCTGTGACGGCTTGCTCAACGATGCGCCCTTATTATACATGGTTAAATTTTCCCTTTCGAATTTTTCCGTTTGGTAAAATTCTCCAAATCGGGTTAACCCTTTGTCCTTGCATACCGCGTCTGAGTTGTCCACCAAGTAGGCAAAGTTGGGGTTGTGTCCCGATTTGGTTCGCTGCCTATCTGCGTCGTAATTCAATTCGGCTCCCGCTTCTGCACTCGCTTCTGCACTCACTTCTGCACTCACTTCTGCATTCACTTCTGCACTTGCTTCTGCACCTGCTTCTACGGTAGGCTCCTCATTGACACCCTCCATGAAGAACATGTTGGCCCGTGGGAGGCTCCCATTACTACCTAGGCCAGTCGATCGAACTGCAGAGTTGAAGTAAAGCTTTCTCTTTAAGGAGCTATTCTGGATCAGTTGCATCAAAAAATCGTAATTTTTTTCATTTAGAAAATAGTCTAGGTATAATTGTTTATGTTCGATGGTTAAGATGCAGGCATAGATGAATCCAAAAACGGTACAGTCAAATTCTTTGAAATATAACAAGGTGTTTGTTTTCTTTTCGAAAATTTTAATCACCCATCTTTTTTTTTCTCTCTCATAGAATATATTTTCCTTCGGTAGGTTTTGCATTTTGTCTACCAAGTCGTTGGAGAATTCTACACCTAGAGTTTTGTACAAAACGGCTCTGGTCTTCGAGGTGATGCAACTAGGGGGGCAGTACTCTCCGTATGTGTCTCCACCTTGAGTAACAGTACTTGCGTTTTGAACTCCATCAGGGAATGATTTCTCTTTTATGTTACTTTTGGAAAATTCTCCAACCCAATTGTGTACATACTTTTTTGCGTTTATTATATTGTAAGTTGGAAGGTCTGCTTTCCCTTTGGCCCTAACTGGACCGTTTGTATGAGTCCCTTCATGTGATGAAGACGAAGAAGCACTGTGGGGGTTATGAGTGCTTAACGAATTAATCGTGTCATTTAAATTTGTTTCTCTATCATCGGAGGGGCTTTTATTTATACGGTACAAAGAGCTTCGCTTTTCATCGGTGACATTGTGGTTTTGATTTATTTCTTCTGCTTCTTCACCTTCTGGTTGTACTTCCTTCGCATCGGCGTTCTGCTTGCACCTCTCTATTCGTCCCTGCCCTGATTCTTTGGCAGTGCAGCCATATGTAGTGATAGCTTCCTGGTCATTCTCGTTCAAAAGTTTGGCGCAAGGGTTCTTCCCCTTGTCTACATTCACCCTTTGGTTGGTGTTTTCCCCGTTTGGAGCCCTGCCACCCGTTGCATACCCACTGATGGAGACAAAAAACATTCTCTCCTCATCATCAAGGTCACTAAAAATGTTATACTTCTTCCTTATGTAGCTGTACTTATGTTGCAGTGCCATCTTCCTGGACTGGTGATAAGAATAGTTTTGTGCAGACAAAAACTTCCTCCTCATATTTGTCATTTTATCCCCATCGTCATATTTGTATAACCACTTTTTTATACCAGAATCGTAGTAAACACCCTCCACAGGAATTATTATGGATTCTAATTCTTCCTCACTGTATAAGTTTCCGATTGTTTCTTTCTCTAGGAGGTTTATAACATCACGTAGATTCAGATGCACATTGTCCAGCCGTTTTTCCTTCAGCAGGTTGGAATAATTTGCATCATTCGTGTATATGGTGTTAAAATGATGGTCATTTCCTTCTCCTCCTTTATATGTGGCGCCAAAGTTTTGTACCTTAAATGGGTTACTTCTGCATGTACTATTATCTACGTTTATAAGTTGTGTAGATTGAGGGCATATCATGCCATTCAGTAGTACTTCATTATAGTACCTATTCAAATTGTGTTGTTGCTTCCTATTTCTCTTTTCCACTTCTTCCCCTTTGATTTTCTCCTCCATTTCATTATTTGTGAGTCTAATAAAATCCCACCCCTCCGTTTCATCATATTTTTCTGTACTGTCACTCTTGGTGTTGTACTTGCACTTATACCCCTCTGTACAAATGAGGGGCGTATTCTCAACGTAGGACGGCACTCCACCTTCTTTTTTCGTGCTCGTGCTACTTATTTGGCTATACGTTACGTTGAATAATTTATTTCTTAGGTAAGAATTTTGCAGGCTTTTCAATATGTACGTATTGTAGCTATTATTTTTGTATAATTCTTGGGGGTTATTTTTATATATATTTAAATTGAGTAAAGAATAGTTTTCTATTTTTAATTTTTTTTTTAAACTATAATCTACATCTCGGTTTATGCTTCTTTTCAAATTGGCTATTTTGTTTCCCTCGTCGTCGACTGTGTCTTTTTTCTTATTCTCCTCATCAGCATCATGTGCTTGGGTCTTCCCAACAAGATTAATTATTTTCCCATGAATAGGGAAAGAACTACTAGGAACTGCACTTGCCCTGCTAAGGCTACTGCTTTTATCATGCAGGGTATGACTGATTAAGGGAACCCCTTTCACTGGAGTTATATTTGGACAATCTCTGATCCTCTGAACATTGAACGAAGCATTTTCCTTCTTCTCGTACTCATTTATATTTGACTTATTCCTATTTACGTCATTGAATAAACTTCCGTCTGACACGGATGAAGAAGAGTCCATGTACACACTCACACTATTGACCACACTGTTGGTTGTAGACTTGGGTAATGTAATCTTCTCACATAAATCCTTCTCCTCCTCATTGCACATACTAAATAAAAATTTAGTGCTCTTTGGGGAACTGTTGTTGTGCGTACTTTCGTTGAAATCGGAGCAGGTGTTATTAGTACTTTCGGTAATTGTATCATCTGTTAACTTTTTGTATAAATGGTGATTTAGTTTGTTTCTCAGGTGTTCCCTTTGTTCTTCCCGCGTGTCATCCCTAGGTTCGCTTTCATGTTCTCCCGTGTTCTCGATTCCCCTCTCCGCGCTTCCTTTCTCGCTATTCGCTTCTACTGCATCTCCATTGAGCAAACCAATTTGATTATTACAATTTAAGATTCCATCTGGACACGTGGGTTCCCGTGTCTTCCCCTCACTCGCGTGGACAATTGATGATGTTTCCTCCTTCAAGTGATTGATGGCTTTTCTGGATGACGTATTTTTCTTTCCTAGTTCACGAGTATCTAGGTTTTCCAAATTGAGCAAGACTCCACCTTCCTTGTCCTTCACTCCATTGGACCCTTTACATATATCGCGAATTAAATTGTACATTGCAATGTCTTCCTGGAGATTCTTATTAGCGTATTCCTCGTCCTTCAATCCTTTTGGCTTGTTACATGCATCCTCTGTGACTGGTAGCAACGGCATATCATGAGCTATTTTTGCTGTGTCCTTTGTTTGGCTTCCTTGAGTCTTCTGTTGCTCCTTGGCACTTATGTCGGTATGCTGTGTGACACTGCTCAGCTTGCTGCTACGATCGCTACCATGCTCGCTACTACGTCCAATGCTAAGTCCACTGTTGCTGCCTGCTGACACATCTTTATTCTCCCCACGTGGTATATTCTCCAGACCCGCAATTAAATAGCTCTTCTTACTTATGAGCATGTCTGCAAATCCAGTTCCATTCATTTTAAGGGGATCTTCAATTTTGTCCCCTCCTAACAGCACATCCTCCTTCTGGTTGCCTACCAGGGGGCACTTTTCCTCGATGCCTAAATGGGGTTCAGTTTGACAAACTGCATAAACATTTGTAATGTTCATATTTTTTTTCTTTTTCTTTTCTCTCTTGGCACATTCCCAAATACTTTTTGCGTCTAGAAGCTCATTAGATGGGGTGTATACATCTCCATTCCCTTCTGCGTTTTCACAGAGGTTGCCCCATTTCGAGGTATCTTCATGGATGCCTTTATTTAGAGCCGAATTAGAACCCATAATATTTCTCAAGGAGCAGCTTTTACTTTTGTTCTTCTCTATTGAGTTTATTTTATTATTCCCTGTAAATTTTTGTTGAGTTGAGTTTTTCACTATGCATGCGTTTGCTCCACTTGGGTTTTCGCTTCCTACTTCATTTCTCATTTCATTTTCGACTTCGCGTCCGAGTGCATTTCCGACTTCACTTCCGATTCCACTTGCACCACTACTTTCATCACTACTTCCGCTGCGACCTTTCCCTTCAGCATTACTTCTTCCCGCTAGTTCTTCATCACGGAGAAGCAGGGAGTTTTTGTTCCCGCCGTGATCCACACTTGCAGACAAATGTGACTGATTCGTCGCTTTCATCTTTCCCCTAGTACTTATTTTTTGTTTTTTTTTTTCGGAAGGTCTATCCGTTTTTATCTTTTTGAAGGGGAGCACACTACCATTGGATGTTCCGCTTTTAAGCTGTCTTATGGTTCTAATTCTGCTAATATGAGCCAAACTGTTGTTATTGCAGCACTTGGTGTTGCACCTAGTGAATGCGCGAAAGGCGTTTACCCTCTCTCCTGTTGAAGCTTTTTTTTTATTTTGCGTCTTACTATCTGCCTTGGTGATTTTTCTGCTTTGCGTTAATTTTAAGGTCTCGTATCTTTCTATTGACAAATTTGGAAAGTGGCACCATTTATAGTTCATTTTGTGTGCAAGTAAAAAAAAATAAAAAAAAAAAAAACGTGCATATAAGAGTGCAGTTGTGCGTGCAGTCGCGTGGACAATTTCTCATCAGTCGTGTGTTAGTTGCCTGTGCAAGTGCGCGCTTGTGCTTGCCTATATGTGTGAAATACCAAAATAATACATTTAGCTCTACTTACATGAAAAAAAAGGACATAGGGGAGCGAGTGCAGGTTACGAAGGTATAATCAAATAACAGCGTAAAACTGCTACTTCATTTTTGTTATTTAGCTTTTTTTTTTTATTTCATTTTTTGAATTTGCCTACGCATGTATGTGCAAATTCTTCGCTAAACACTCATGGTTGCTTACAGTGCAGAAAGTGACTAACTGATCTCACCATTCGTTTTTTCTTTCCTTTGTAATTATTTTCACCGGTATTTCGCACGAAATACACAGCAGATTGAAGCTACGTAGTGTTACATAAATTTGCTCAAAAAAAAAAAAAAAAAAAAAAAAGGAAACAAAAAATAGGCAGAGGAGAAAAAAAAAAAAATTTAATTAGAGGTGTTTTAACTATCGTGAAATAATCCCTATTTCACAAAAATGCTAAATGTAGAAATGGAGTTTTGCAGAAATGTGTACATACGTCGTATATACATACATACGTGCTACGTACAAAGGTCTATCACAAAAAAAAACAATGAGAATAAGGCGAATTCGCGTGAGCAGTCGGGGTGGGGGGGAAATGTACATATAAGGGTTAAATTCAGGAGATAAAAAAAAAAAAAAAAAAAAAAAAA